TGTGCCTCCGTGCTGGAGGAATGCACACGTTTGAGGATAGAATCATGGCCCGCTGAGCTGGTGAAGGCCCGCAAGAAAACTCATGTCAAGATGCATTCAGCACTTCTATGAATGTAGAGGATGTCTTTTGTGGTGGACTATGCCATAGGGCTTTCGGCTGAGCGCCTTCCAAGCGTGGCGCTGTACAGAAGACTCAATGTATCAGGTGGTAGAGTACGCAGGCCTGGCCCGTAGAAATGTTCAACAAGGGCAGGAAAAACCTGCATCTGCCCCCAAAAAGCTGCAATCGCGTGAATCTTTTGAGTTTATGGCTCGTATGTGAGAAACGCTATAGGCGCTGACGCTTGCGGAACTTCGGCTGCGTTGTACCACCGGCTCGTAGTGCCGCGACTGTTGGCTTCGCAGAACAGGAACCAATTGAGAAAACATGCTTGTGGAGAAAAAAGCTAATCTGTCTTTATTGCACTAAGAATGTTTCAACTGGTTAGTATTGCAAATCATGTAGGGGAAAAAGCAAGTCAAAAAAAAGTCACGGGCGCAGGAAGCTTCGAAAGTTGGGTGTTCTTGGGTTGGTCGTCAGTAGATGGAATATCTGATGGCGTTGGCATGGGCGGACAAGTATGAGGCAGCTTATATGCACGCATAAGTGCTCCTCTCGTTGCCATGTAGTTGCGCTTAAGTTGGAAATTGCTGTAAGGTTGAGACTGTCCAGGTTCGCATACCGAAGAGAGGGAAAAAATGATCGTAACAACAGAGTGTTTTCAAATGTCTGTGGATTCAGAACATTGAAAGTACATAGCTTGATAGTGTTCTGGCCGCTTGGCTCCACGTACCTCATAAATACGTTTCCGCGAGGTTGTGGAATACCTCCAGAAAGTCAAGCCATCGAGCCGTGAGATTACATAGCAGCTTAGCCTTGTGCACCTTCCGCTGGAGATCAGGGCCTGATGGTTGGTGTATGCCATAGTAATTGGTGACGCCACTTGCCCAGTGTTATAGTCCAAATATTCGTGGTTATAAACTCGATGCGTCTTATGCGTAAAGCTCAGGAGCTAACACAGGAAACCTGTCACTCATAAATCGAACATATCTGCTGCTTGGAGATTTGGCTGAGGAAACCAGCCGGCGTTTTCTTCCATCTCAACTACCGTCCGTATCGCATGGCCAGAGACGTTCATGCGCGACTCTTAATCCATCAGAGTGTCTGAAACCTGTAGGACCGTAAAGTTGATCAAGCGCCCTCAATGTTGAACACAGCGTGAGTGTGAGTCTAAGGCAAGTAGAAGAGCGCAAGCTTCCAAGTGTGTTCATCGACGACTTGAATGTTATCAACGAAATCTAGTTGCAAGAAGATGCGACAACAGTTTGCCGTTCCTAGAATTCGGCGCATTCAAGTTTCTTCATTTTTTAACGCCTGTGGCCATCCGCGTATCAGTAATGCTCAATCTGCTGTGGGTTTTGTGCTGTCTGTATTGACTGTTTTACCGAGGTAGGCGCGCTCCTGCTCGGCAAACTTACATTTATAGAGCATGGAGTAATATTTTTGCTTGAAGAAGGTGCGGGGAAGCTGTCAAACAACGCCACCTTGTTTAGCTAGACTGGAGCTGTACATAAACACCTCGGCTCGGTGTGCAGTAACAATTGACTTTGTAAGGGTTAGTGCTATATGCTGGTACTACACTAAAAGGTAGCTGGGGCATCACTGGAGCCATAGTACATTACCCTATATTTGGATGACTTCATGGCTAAGCAGAGAAGCTTCTTTTCTCAATGCTCCTTAGGCCTTCAATTCAGTTCAAAACCTACTTTACAGGATGTCCTGGAAAGGCATTAAGGAGCCTTCAGCATCTCTAGTGTTGTCTGAGCAGGGCCGTGGGGAAACCACAAGCAGCCGTCAAGGCTTTCAATGATTACGAAACAGCTGCGGTGCACATGCTTCACTGGTATGAACGATTACCATGCTTCTTAACCATTATTGCCATGGTACAGATTGATGAATACGCATGGCGAATCCACCCACTCGCAATCATCTTAGGCTTGCTTTGTATGCTAAAACTGAGCTAAGTGGACGTCATTACGGTAAAAGCTGGATTTCGCTGGAAGTCTGCCGAACAGTAGCAAGATGTTGTGGTCCAAGGGGAGGTCTGATGGTAATCTTATGGATAGAGCGTCAAGGACGCTATTTCACATAATACGTCAGGTACCACAGTAGACACATTCTGTGCTTCTTCTGGCTGTAGCCATTCACCTGGAGCGTATACTGAAGCACGGCGAAAGACGACGGCGAGTTTCCGTCGTTTTGGAGTAGGCTCTCACGGAGGGCGCGAAAATAGCGTGGGGTGAGACCGTCTTGTTGTGATGCAAAGGCATTAAACGGTATACTCCCTACCTCCTTTTACACAACTGCAGGGCAAAGTTTGTGCTGAGTACAGGCAGACCCAGCGTGGGATTTAGCCAATATAGTGGACCGCGAATAATATTTGACTTCGTGGTCCCCTGCCTTACTGAGTTGTTGATTCGCTCCTGTAACGTTGCTTGCACATGCAGATTACGTTATTACTATCATGGGCTCGGCCGTAGGAGTAATGCCACCAGCTTCGTGGAAATACGTAACAACCGCTCAGCCACTAAGCTGTTTGCGCGCTCTGCAGGGGTTTGGGGATGAGCCTCACCCGGCCACCCGTGTTTTTCCCCCGTTCGATATAACGTGCTACAGGTCATTCGCACCATTTGCTATCCGGGTTGGCTCTGACGTTAGTACACTGGAAGTAACAAGTTGCCTCGTCTGGTGTAACTCAATCTAGTACCGTGTTAGGTATAAGAGATGAATCCCACTCAACCGTTCCTAGTGTCTGGTGTAACTCAGTCTGGTGTAACTCAATCTAGTACCGTGTTAGGTAAAAGAGATGAATCCCACTCATCTGTTCCTAGTGCAATGTTGACAGGCCAGAAAGATGTCACAGCCAAGAGGAGAATATGCCTAGAGCGACCAAAGATACCTAAATTCCTTTGGCTTTGTTGCCGTTTTCACCTGTCAACTTTTACCATGCCTAACCTGACAAAAAGACCAGCACTTGTTGCATTTGGGCAGCGCCACGCATATTTATGCGCATATCTGGGCGCTAACTTTTCCATACAGGACTAATGCTGAGTAGGCCGAATGAGGATGAGCGCAGTACTCAAAACTGCTGTGCAATATTTGCGAGCACGGCTTGGGCAAGAGCACGACCATGCTCACAATGCTATGTCATGCGGCTGTATCTCAAAGTACGTGTCGACAAGTATCCTCCTGTTTCACCTGTGAAACTGCAGTTCGGGGGGTAGCACAAGCAGCTAGCTGCGTGGTGGTGTTACACATGGGGACATACTCGGAAGCTTCAGGCCTCCCTCACACTTCTCTCATCCTCGAGCGTAGGTGTAGCCTGACCTCACTCCGTACACACTGTGAATAAACAACGTTACCCACTCACTCTAACCAACTGACAACGCGTGTGTACTGCTCCCTTGGTTTTAGTGCGCAAGCTAGCTCGCTAGACAGTACTCAACATTATCCGTGTCGTGTCTTCGCCGTACATGCTTCGGCTATGATTTTCCATCTAAAGCTGCCCTGTCAGCATATTTCATTTGGAAATTTACCTGGCGTGAGGGTGCCTGCATATAGAGTGCTGTCGAGCGGCCAATCACAGCAAGGAACCGAGGTAGTTCTTTCAACTTCAGAGCAGCTTGACCTTAAGGCCGCCACGAAACGATCAGTAGCGTAGAACAATATGACACACACACTCATGCTAAAGTTCGACGTATCCAGCCCGTACTGCTTACCAGCTTCCACTGGCGCAGCCCCAGGGCCCCAGCGTCTGCTCAGGGGGTCGGGCGCCGGGGTTTTGGTTGGGTGTTGTACAAACTAAGCTTCCCTCGGGTATTGCCTTCCACTTAAATTAGCTGTTTTTTGCCATTGTTTTCGCACTTGTTTTGTATGGCCTTTTTATAGGGGGAAGATCTGTCGCCGGCGTCGGCTTCACTTTGGCGACCGGTCCAGGCACAGACGCACCCGACAGGGAGCACGTTTCCATAAGCATCAGCGCTGCATCGTTGGCTGCTGTTCCTTTTGTTTTTGACACCTTTATCTATTCGCGTGGCTTGTAGTGTAAGAGAAATAGCCCCTTCAGGATACCAGCTGCGGCAGAAGCAGGTGGGAGCAGCGGCTACGGCGGTAGCAACAACAGCAACAGTAGACCCTGCCACTACTGATTGACAGCCCAGGGTAAAGAAGGGTACCGCGTCATCTTGGCCACATTGGCAGGTGTCCCTGTATGCCTCCTGGCATCGTATTTATTCGCAGCAAGCGGCAGCTGGAACTGCGGCTTCAGGAGCCGCTGCCGGCGCAACTAGAACAAGCGAGCAAGATGTCTCAGACAGCATCTTGAGTGCCTCCTATACTTATGCCCAACTCAACTGGGAGAGACCCCGACTCTCCTAGACTCCGTCTCCTTGCGCTCTAGCGCAGTAGCCTTGTTGGTACACACGGCGACCGCTATCAACTTGCCGGAGGGGGGGGGGGGCTAGCCACGGATGTAAGAACTGCTGAGCCCTCAGCTCTGGCCGAGACCGGGCCTCGCTGTCTTTTTTGGGGGCGCCCGCATCTGCATCTACCCTACACATTCCGGCTTTTGGTGGCATTGACGGGATTAGAGGGCTTGGTCTTACTGGCGCTTTTCAAGTGCATCCCCTCTATCGTCAACATCTGCCGCCAGCACGACTCTGTGCTTCCTTCACACGTAACGAGAGCCTTCCACATATCCCAGATGCATCCACCCCACTGCAGTGACAGCAGTAGGACCAGCGAGTGGAGAAGGGGCAACAGCGACAAAGCAGCAGAGCCATTCCCAACAGCAACAGCAACTGCAACGGCAGCAGCAAATAGAGCAGGTGCAAGGGGATCGAACACAACAGCCGAAGCGTAGCACGAGGCTGCAGACACGATTGCTTCAGCCGTGCAGAACATGGCAATGAAAGCCGTAACGCTGTCCCGTAGGACAAGGCCCCCCAAGCCCTCTGTTTCTGGGGTTGACATCCAGACCAAAGCTAGCGAAGTGGTCTCTTGCGCTGAGAATGGAGAACCCGAAGCTTCAGGGGCTGGCAACGACAGCCTCAATGGCAACGACAGCCTCAATGGCAACGACAGCAGCAGTGGCAATGGCAGAATTAGTAGATGCAGCAGTGGCGCCCACAGCAAGAGGACGGCGGACTTCCCGCAGCCTGTGCGAGCGACAACAGCGGCAGCGACAGTGGCGAAAGCAACAGAGCCCGAAGCAGAAGCAGCTTCGGACACACCAGCTGTGGCGGAAGCAGCAGCATCTGCATCATCCGTGACACCAAAAGCGGCGCAGTTGGAAGCGGCAGGTTCTGGACCAGCAACTTTAATGGCAGCAGCAACAGCATTTCAGGCACCAGACTGGTCTAGAACACCTGGTCACGTTGGGAAAGCAGCAAATATACCGGTGGAGGAACTACAGCGTTTGTACGGAGCAGATGACAGGGACGATGCCAAAGACTACACATACCCGCTTAGGGTTATTCTGAACTGCAAAGGGCTTCACTCGGAGTTTCACCCGGAGAGCGGGGTGAATTACTGGAACTGCCTGTTAATTCTCATTTTGCTATCATTGCTGATGTAGTTGTCTCCGCAGACTTACCCTCAGAGGCACACTGCTGCTGCTGTTGCTGCCGCTGTTGTTTTCTCTGCAGCTTGCAACTGGGCTGACCAGCAAGATCTTCCAGCACTACGTGCTCAAGCAGCGGATCGGCGCGGGTTCTTGGGGCGAAGTGTTCGTGGCCATTGAGAGACTATCGGGAATACAGCGGGCCGTCAAACGCATACCCAAGAGGCACGCCGCTTTTGCTGCTTCTGCTGTTGCTGCTATTTCTGTTGTTGCAACGCGCTGTTATGTCCAAATCTCGTGAAAGCAGAGAGACGGGAAAAACCAGAGGGAGAAAATCTAAATTTGATACTACGTACTGCATGCGTTCGGTTTTCTTTGCTGCAACCAGGGGTGCTGGTGTTGCTGCTGCCGAAGGTTGAGCCGCCGTACTATGTGCTGCCATTGGTTCTGCTGCCGCTGCTGTTGTGCAGCACGCCACATGCCGTGGCAATGGCTCGCGAGGAGGTAGCACTAATGCGCGAAATAGATCACCCAAACATCGTGAAGGTCTTCGAATGCTTTGACGACACAGCTTACTTCTTTGTGGTGAGTGTCTGCCCAGTTTTTTCAATCCTTTCGATTTGCATCCTCTAGCTTTCCCTCTCGTTCTGTCCCCTCTCATCTTCGCCGCCTCAGTCTACTTGTTTCTTCTGTGTGACTGTGTTCGTCCTTGAGCGTCCTTGTCTCCCTCGCGTCAGTTTCCTTGCGTGCGCCTTTGTCTCACTCTCGGTCTGAGCTGGTTATTAGTCCGTAAACTTGCATCACCTACTATTGCTTTCGCTACTTCTCCAGTCCTGTCATTCCTGTCTTCTTTGTTGGCCTGTCTTCAGCATCTCTAAATCATTTTGTCTCCTAATACGCTCTGCTTGTCTTTTTTTCGATCTATTCCCTCACTTTGTGTCTCGCGTAATTAACGTTTCACCGCACTCTCTATGCACCTACTTCCCCGCGACTGCTGGAGGCGGTGCTTAAATTTATAGTACTTGAACAGTAGCAACTGCTGCTGCTGCACCAGTTGTGTGCATTTTCTGGGATGGTTGCTCCTCCAATCCTCATGTTGGCCTCTGAGCAGCCCGTGGTCACTGTAGCAGCTCTAGATAAACGGCATTTTGCTACGTACAATAGTTACTTTCCGCAGCGACCGCTGCCTCGTTGCCCATTGTTTCAGGTGATGGAGCTATGCCGCGGGGGGGAGCTGTTCGACGAGCTGGCTAAGAGCGCACCGTGTTCGGGCCGCTGTTGCCTTTCGGGTTCCTGTGTGCATCCGCGCTTTTCTAGGCAAGAAGCAGCCCTGATCATGTACCAGGTGCTTGCCGCTGCACACTGCTGTCATCAACATGGAATCTGCCACAGGTGTGTCCCCTGCAGCGCCAGGTTTGATCTTTCTGCTCTGCTACGCTGTTGCTGCTGTAGTTGATGGATGTTATAAAGGCAGCAGCTGCACCCAAGCTGATGCCTGCTTCGCATAGGGATTGCTCGTTGGTCTAACATTGGTTGGTTGAGCAGTGCATTTTTTTGGTGTGTTTGCGTTGGTTGCCACTGCTTCTGCCTATAGTGAAAATGTAGTCAACCTTTTTGAGTTCACATTACATTCCCGCTGCAGCCGCTGCTCCTGCTGCTGCTGTTGCTGCAGAGACATAAAGCCAGAAAACTTCTTGCTAGCTGAGCCGGGTAGTTTGACGCTTAAGTTGACGGATTTTGGTTTGGCGAGGCGATTTTGTCGCCGCCCAAGTGCCCCCCGAAGGGAGTCTCTTATGGATCTCGTCGAGGCAGCAGTGGCTGCAGGCGTTGCTGCTTCCTCTCCTGCTGCACCCCTTGCTTCACCGTGCTGTCCGCGTGATTCTGTGTCCGCGCCTAGCAGTGCTTTAAACGAATTACATCGCCAAAGTGAAAAGCTCACGGGCTTGGATGAGAATTGCCAGCAGCAGCAGCAGCAGCAGCGTCAGCAGGAACAGCAGCAGCGAGAACAGCAACAGCAGGAACAGGAGGACGGGAAGAGGTTGCTGCACTCCATCGCTGGGACTGTTTGTTTTGCAGCTCCTGAGGTTCTGCGGCTGTCAGCAGACTTAGTAGAGAAGACTAATGCTATAAAGTTGCAGCAGCAGAAGCAGCGACAGCATGAAGAAGAGGATGGGTCTTTCCAGCAGGAGTCCCAGGAGCAGCAGCAGCGACAGGGTTCGCAGAAACAGCAGGAGCAGCAGGATCGCCTGCAACCTCTGGGATATGATGGAGAGCGGGCGGACGCTTGGAGTTGTGGCGTCATGCTCTATCTTCTTCTGTGTGGGGAGCTGCCCTTTGACGGCCCAGACGATGCAACTGTTGCCTACAATGTCAGTGCTGCATCGGGTTCGCTGCTGCTGCCGTTGCTCCTTCTGCTGTTGTGACTGCTGGCATCTTCTGTGAGTGCTTGAAGTATGCTGAAGCCTTTGAGCCCCTTTGTGCCAGGGTATCATTTAGGGCAGGCTGTGCAGTTGCTTTTCGTATGGCTGCTGTTGTTGCTGCAGGTACTGCACGGGGAGCTGAAGTTCACGCATCCTGTGTGGAAAGAGGTTTCTGCAGAAACGCTGGAGCTTGTTGTTGCGCTCTTGGAGCCTGACCCTGCCTGGAGATTACTTGTGGGCGAAGCCCTTGGCAGCAGTTTCTTCAGCAGCTTATTGCCGCTCCACCTGCCGATCCCAGCAGCGGCAGCAGCCAATGCATTAGTCCCCACGTCGATTTCGGGCACTTGGAGCAGCAGAAGGTTGTCACCACTTCGCTGCGTCTCCTCTCTCGCTGCCTGCAATGCCGCCGACACGCGCCGCTGCCGCTGCATTTCAATGCCGCATCTGTCGCCGCTCACTTGTTCTGCGGCTGGACCAGCAGCTTCTTCATCAGCAGCGGCTGCAGCAGCTGCTGCTGCAATCGCTGCGGGATTGGCGGTGTCGCCTGCTGCTGCTTCTTCGTGCTGCAGCGGCTCTAAGCCGATTGCGGGAGGTCAAACATCCCCTAGCGGGCGCGGAAGTGTCTCTTGCCAGGGCACTGCAGCTCCGGCTTCTCCAGACTCCTTTTTAACAGCAACAGTCGCAGACGGAACGCCAAAAGAAGCAGAAATCGCCGCGGCAACAGAAGATGAGAAGTGCCAGGAAGAATGCTCAGGGAGTCGTTCTTTGGCAGCCTCTGCAACGGCACGGCTGCTAGGGCAGCGCATTGCCGGTCTCTGCCGACTCATCGAGACTTGCGCTGCTGTTGCTGCAGCCTCGACAGCAGAAGAGGTCACTAAATGTATTTCTTCTCTCCCCTTTGGTCGCGGCTTGTCAGGCGTCCCTAAGTGGCCTTGGGAAGGTACAGATGCTTTGCCAGATATGGCCGCTGTTGAGAAAAGGACGGATGAGGAAGTCCACAAGCGAGAAGAAGGGGAGTCAGAGCAGCAGCAGCAACCGGCAACTGTCGGATCCCGCCCACGTTTGAAATTTCTGGAAGACAGCAGCTGCTTCTTGTGTTGGTGTTCCAATACGACAGCGAGAAACTATGGCAGTATCAGCAATAGCAGTAGCTGCAGCGGTGACAGCAGCAGCAATTCCAACTGCAATGACTACGCTGGAGGAGCTCTGTCTTGTTCAAGAGACAGGCTTAGTACACATAGTTGGTCATGTGCTACTGGATGTCTCTCACACCCCGGAGGAAACTGCTGCATATCGAAAGGCAGCTGCGGCTGCAGCCGAAGGAGACTTGGAAGCAGTAGTACCAACAGTAGCAGCTACCGCAACTGGGACTCCTGCAGCAGCAACCCTTGTGAAGCGAGCAGCCCGCCGCTATCGCTGCGCCGGAAGCGATATAAGGCCAAAACTCGGAGTCTTCTACAGTCTCTAGGCGTGCCTACTGGCATGCTGCAGCGAAGGGACAGCAGCAGCAGCTGTTGCAGCCGGTTCAGCAGCAGGAGAGGCAGCAGCATGCCCATAGAGATGGCCCCCCTTGGCACGGTTGGCGATATTTGGGTTCATCAGGGTCCCCAGATACCGTCTCCGCACCCTGTAGTGTGTTCCCCCTTCGATGCCATTGGCTCAACGACCGCCACTGCAGCTGTTGGAGTAGCTCCAACCACGCCAGCGGCCTTGGCGGGCGCGACGGCTGCTGCAGCTACGTTGGCTATGCAGGAGGCCGCAGCAGCTGGCAGGGGAACCACCGTGCTGCGCGAAGAAGGATCAACGCTGCCGCCACTCCAGCAAGTGCCACCGCAGCGGCCGGTGCAGCCACTACAGCAGCAACTGCAGCAGCAGCTGCAGCAGGACGTGCAAGCGTCACTGGGGGACTTATGTAATGCGGAAGCTCCTAGAGAACGCGAGCCGCACCTGCACATCCCGCGCCGTGTGGCTTTTGCCCTGCAGTGGCTGCAGACTTTAACAGCGGCGAGCGTCCCAAACAACAATAACAGCAGCGACAATTTTGCAGCCCTTGCTGGCGTGGGCTGCTTAGCTTCAATATGGGCTGGAAGCCAGCAAATAGAGCAACAGCAGGAGCCCCTGAGTTACGTCTGTACCCTCGGACAGCAGGAGCTTCATTTACTGCACTACACAGCGGCAGCAGAAGAGTTGCTGCGGCGGCTGCGAGCGGCTACCCAGGGTCCGTTGCTGCGGCGGCAGGCATTGCTGGCTTTGGCCGTTGCTGTCAGGGGTAGCGCCCCGCCGTCTCCAAGCCCCAGTGTCGGGCAGCAGCTACTCCACCTTCCGCATACATGTGGAGATCCTTCTTACAATCGATATAACAATAGCAGCACTCCCAGCTGCAGCAGTAGTAGAGCAGACTTTGCTGCCGCTACAGCAGGCGTAGACTGGGTTTGCTGCTCATGCAAAGGAGCAAGGCCGCTTCCGTCGTGCTGCTGCATCTGCCACTCCGCATCAAACCCAAGACATATTCCGGGGTGCAACAGCCAGCAGGCGCTCTTGGTGTTGCAGACGGCAAGCACTAGCAGTACTGGAACCAGCAGCAACCACGCTGCTGGGAGCGGCCAGACCCATTCTTCCAGTGTTAGTGACATCCGCAGCCAGCAGCAGCAGCATGGGGGGGACAGCTACACCTGCCCTGTTCGCTGCTTGAAGTCGAGCCCATGCATATCCGAGCTACACAGCAACAGCAGCAGCAGCGGGAGGTTGCGCGGTTCCCGTAACGAAGCTGGCGAGGAGCTGCTGCGGGAGCGACGCCTGCTGCAACTGCTATTTCTGTCATTTGATCAAGACGGAGATGGTCTGTTGTCTTATCGCGATTTTGCAGATGGCATGTTATCACTTCTGCTGCTCGCAGCAATTCTGGGGCAACTGAGTCTCCAAGCTGAGGAAGACACAGCCCAGGACAAGGCTGCAGCTGCGCTTGGCGTGGGAGCCCCTCCACAGCAACAGGGTCAGCAAGAGAGGCAGCAGCAGCATTCACAGCGGCAAGATACACAGCAGCAAGGAGAGGAGCAGCAGCAGACAGTAGAGGCAGTGCAACAACAGCAGCAAGAGTTGCAGCTGCAGGATGAAGATGCATGGGTGTCCTGGGTGTCACGCTGGCTGCTTCTTCACTTCGAGCTGCTTTTGCTTGGAGCCGAGATCGACGGAGATGGCAGCGGGGCGATCGAACTCTCAGAGTTTCTCGCCGCAACTTTAGATTCATCTCTTTTGGCTTCCCAGCCTTCTCTCCGCAAGTGGGCAAGAGGACTTTGGTGCTGTTGCTCTCGCTGCTTGGTTGCCGCTGTTGCAAGAGCTGTGGCGGCCCGAATCTGTTTCCCTTGCATTGGCATGCTGCCTTTGAAGACTTTGCCCTGGTTTTTCCTACGTTTTGCGCCGTTTAGTGTAATAGTGTTTGTATGGTGTTACCCGCCGTAAGATGCCGCAGCGGCTGCAGCAGATGCTGGTGGTGGTGTCTGGATTGCTTTTTGAATCCCAAATTTGTGCGGGGAGCGCATGCGTTTTTTCTCGTACCTGCAGGGCAGCGTTCCGAATGTTGGACCGCTCAGGGGATGGGGTTTTGGGGCTTAGTGACCTGAAAGCTTGCATCAAGGAAACAAGCCTCAGCCACGAGGACCCTGAGGCGTTAGGTAGGCACCAGCATTTGCTCTTGTTCTTCCGCTGTCAGCGCTTCTGCTGCTACTGCTGCTTTTGGGATAGCCGTACATGCAGGTCGCTGCTTTGTCGCCGCTGTCTTTGGATGCATGCAGATGTGCAGCTACGCGCGATTCTCCGCGCTGGAGATATTGACGGAGACGGGCGTGTGACTCTTCAAGTGAGCGCCGGAGATGAGGCTGGGTTTGCTTGAGATGAGTAATGTATTTGGCGATTATGCATATGATCTCGTACACACGTATGTATATATATATGTACAGATATGTCTAGTCCCCTTTCCATATGTGTGTACGTCCGTCTTTTATCCACCACATGGGTGCTTGCTCATTTGTTGTGTGTCAATTTGCTTGCGTGCATACCTATATGAACAATTGAACAATGCATCAAACACACGCTTGGTATTCTCTTGGCTTCTTTTATCCATGAAATACCCGCGGCTTGCCAGCGTCCGCTCCTCACTACTCTTTCAGTGCATTTACGTAGAAGCTGCACGCACGTAGGTATCGACTGTTTGCTGTGGCTCTCAGGATTTTGAGCAATTCATACAAATGCCATAGGAATTTCACTTCTTGTTCTGCCGCATTCAAGGGAAGTACTTGCAGCAGCAAAAGCAACACCAGCAGCATCTGCTGCTGGACAGCAGCCAAAGCAGTATCAAGACTAGCGCAGCTCATTAGTTGCTGGGACTTCCTAGCGTTCACTGACTCTGATGTTGTTCTATCAAAAGTTGCTGTCGATGGAACTTCACTGCTGCTATTGCATTGCAGTACTGCCGTTGCGTATTTTCGACTTCCTGACAATTTCACCCCGTCTGCCTAGCTTGTTTAACGTTTTCCTTAACAAACAATGACCCACTAAACTGCTGCTGCAGCATGAGCAAAGACTGCAGCAGCAGGTGTCGGAAGCGCAGCACCTGCGAGCTGCTGTGCGCCGTGAGCGGCAGCGGCAGCAATAGGCCTCTAGTAGCGGCACCAGTGTCTGCTTGTAACAGAGCAGCATGGTGAAGTATTGCTTGGGCAGAATCGTTTAAGTGACATTTTCAGTGGCTTCACAGCGACTTCGGCACTGCAGCATTGCATGTTAGCAGGTATTTACTGCCACTATGCGCGTAGCTTGAACTGCATCAGCAGAAGCCATTGTTGGTGCTGCTACCTACGTCGCAAGGCCCGATGTGGCTGGGAAGGATTAGTTCATCCTGCCTAGACATCCAGGGGCCCCACAGAGACAGACAAGTTTGTCTCCTTCAGCCTCAATGCCGAACTGATAGTCGTAGGTGATTTCTGCTCCTGCGGGGACATCCTCCTTGGCTATGATGAGGATGTGTTTGTGGCCAGAGTCGCAGACGACGATGCGGCAAGTGCAGTTGGGCTGAAGCCGCAATGAACACACAGGCGACTGACGCTGAATGCATTTGACACAGATAATGCTTCAACCAAGTCAGGCGTACCGAAACAAGCACACTGAATAAATGGTGGAGGCCTGCACTCGCATGGGAAAGCCACAGTCGGGGAATGAGCCACGAGGGAGACTGACAGAAGCAAGCTAAATAAGGCATGAAAAAGCTCGAACACAAACAAACGAAAGCGAAAGCTGTTATAAGAACAAGAATTACAGGCGGCGACAGCCAGCTACGCTAAAGGACACACTCACAAACAGGGATAAGTAGAGTAAACTGTACAAAGGAAATGAAGGTATGCCCGTAGAACACAAGAATGACAAAATAGAGCGAATCAAAAGTATAGTTTCTCTCCACGCCACTGTATTTGCGCTTTTGCCTGCGTCCGTGGGGTCTGTGGGCGCACCGCGCAAGAGTGGTTTATAAACCGAGAAGCACTACCGCGGCGGGTGGCGTCCACCACAAATGCATCGTCTAGCCTAAACATGTAACAGGAGCCGTCGCCACCTCGCTGCAGCTCGTACAGCACCTCCAGCTTGTCACTCAACACATTCCGAATGACGGATCCCACGTATTCCACCACGGGCTGAAGACAAAAGACAGGCAACCAAGCACAAACTGCATGCAAGACAGCCACACAACAGCTGCGTGAATTCGACCGCGATACAGCCCCCCTACCAGCCAAAAGGAGACACTGCATAAAAATGCGGGAGAGTCGAGTTAAAGTACAAGAGACTAACCTCGCCGTGAGCAATTGGCACTAGAGCAAAGAGACCGAGGCCGTGAATTCGAGAAGGCATTACTGCCAAGCGCTCCTGTCAACAGGCAAATTGCAGCGAAGTTTTCATTAGGTGCCAAAATCAAATAGCTTCGCGGAGCCAAAAGACAGGCATCTTATTTATCCGCTGCGGCTAATGATACTAGCTTGCTGCAAGCTACAGCTTTTGCCACTGTTCAACGTGCGCTACCTCTGAAAGAGCAGCAGCGGCCCAAAACGCAGCGGCTGCAACACAGTAGCATTTGCAGCAGCTACCTACCTCCTGGTCCCCACTCTGCAGAAGCCTGTAGAGGGCAGCAGGGGACAGCGCCTCGAATCCCCTTTTCCCCTGCGCGCGTAGGCGGCCTGAAGACTGCCGGGACGAGCCGGCGCCCACCGCTGCAAGGGCAGCTGCTGCGTCAGCGGCATCTGCCTGAATCCGCAGCAACAGCACCAGCAGAAACACTACGACGCTCAAGTTATTTCTCCGCCGGGTCGGGTAAGTGCATAAATGCAAAGCGTACGAATGCAGCTGTGCGTGCCAGCTACACAAACTGACTTGCACCAAAAAGCTGACAGAAACAGGACCAGCAATAGTGACAACAGCTCACCTTGGCCCTGGCATGCACGCGAGTAAAGAGCTCCTCGCCCTCTACAGCGTCAGGCACTGCCGACGACTGGAGATCTCGCGGCACACAGAAGGTGCCCCCTCTCTTCGCAGCAACAGCGTTGCCATCGGCCCAAGCAGTACTAGTGCAGCTGCAAAGCCGCAGCACACCTACCAAAACTCTCAAATTCGAAGGTTGAATTTTGGTCTTTAGTCCTGATCTTTGTACCTAAGACATGTACTGTAGCCAAAAGCTCGCAAAGGCGCGTACACCCTTACCTCTTTTTCCGCTGCCTTGCTAATGCTCGCTGCTGCAACTGCTGCAGCGCACGAGCCGCCAACACCTGTGGAGTCACTTCTCTCAGGCGTTGCTGAACATATGGACATCTCAGACCAAAGAAGACCTCGGGATCTAGAGAAGAGACGTCTACTGGCTTTGGGCCTTTTGCCTCCACTCGGCCGTCCCGTGGCTGCTGCTGCGAGGGCAGCTGCTGCTCTGGCCGCAGCTGTGCGGACTGCTGTTTAGGCGACGGGCTTGCCGGCTCATCTGCAGGGGTGGCTGCAACAAGGGACGCAGGAGGAGCAACTATGCCCTTCGTGTCCCCGCTCAAGGCATCGGGGTCCAGGCTACTGCTGACTTTGCAGTTGCTTCTTTCCGTTGCAGAGGCCTCCATGCCGGCTGTAATTACAGGAGAGACAGAGGGCGGTCGGTGCTGGTGTTGCTGCAACTGTATCTGCAGCTGCTGCATCAGCGTCCCTACGACTGCATTCAAATCGAATCCCTCTGCAACGCGCCAGCCATACTGGCAGGCAGTGCACACATTGGTGTCAGTTGCTGTTGCTGCTGGCTTCGTTGGGATACTTGTTCTCTCTGCTGCTGCTGCCCCGAGTTTTGCGGCAGGCTTTGCGAGGCAGTCTAGTGTAAAGTAGGGGCGTCTCTGATGCGCTGTGATACTGCAGAGGTACGTAGCCCTCTGGAGGAATCCGCTGACAACGATGCCCTTGCTGCTGTTTTCACTGCTACCGTCTTTGTTGATGCAGGCCGGGTGGTGCACATGACTGGGCACCCGAACACCCCAGAAGCGGCGAGTAGCACAATACCCAATAGGAAATAGGCTGCTGCGGCTTCCATCAAAGAGCAAAGGCAGACCAAGAGAAACCAGCGTGAGACCTCCGTACCGCAGCAACGAGGATGGCGGGGGTGCGCGCAACTTCAGCTGCTGCTTTTCCACATGCTGCCGCTGATGGTAGCCAATGGCTCCGTTGGAAAAGGAATAGGGAACCACAGAAGCAGCACAGCATCGCCCGCCAACATATGGAGACAGCTCAGGAGATAGAAGAGTGCAGTAATCACGCAAAGCCGCATGAGCATCTGCCATTACCTGCTGCAGAAACGCCACAGTCTCAGACGCAGCAGTGCCGGTTTCATCAGCTGCTGCATCTTCTTCCACCGCAGCTGCTGCTGGAAGCTGCTTCAGTGCTGCGCCTAGCGGGTGTGTATCCACGTCAGCCATTGCTGCTGTTGCTGCTGTTGCCGCCGCAGCAGCAGCAAAAGCAGGCGGCTTTATGCGAACGCTCTGAAGCAGCAGCCGCAGCAAAACCGCTGCAGCGCCACCACCCACCCCCTCAAGAAAAACGAAAAGTGGGTCCTGTTCTGCTGCACTGTCCAATGTTGTAACCGTTGCTGCTTCGGGTTGGCACATACGAACTTCGGGCTCCACTGGACTGTCAAATGTCGCAGGTGATGTGGCAGCAGCAGCAGGAGCAGCTGCAGCAGCAGCATGCCCTTCTTCGCAGCAGTCCTGACACCAAAAGCGACGGAGCGTAACGAAGACCCGGGGCCGAGGACTTCTTGCAGATTGCTCTTGCTGCACATATTGCTTCTGCTCAAGGGGTCGTTTCCCAACTGCTGCTAGCAGCAAACACGTAAGGTGGTAACGGGCATTGCAAGAGCGCTCTTCTGATGCCTGCTGCGAACCTGCGCACGCGACGAAGGCTCCACTGCACCCGCAGGCAACGCAGCGGGCGTTGCGTGCAGCCGCCGCAGCAAGCAAAACTGCGTCAGCAGAACATTCCAAAGGAGGTAGCTGTTCTGGTAGAGCCGCAAACGATCGCACTAGCCCTTTACTGTTTCTGTTGCTGCTGCTGCTTGGTTGGAGACTGGTTGCTGCCGTCTTCTCTGCTTCTGGTACTATGCTGGGCACGAAAGGAGAAGACCCCCCAGCTCCCTGCGAATTTTGCACTTGCTGAACTTCACGCGACGCACCAAACGGGTCGGCGAGCTGCAGCAGCTCTGGGGATAGCAGCGGCACAACAGTGCATGAGTAAACGCCCCAGGCGCAACAGCCAGCGTGGACCCAAGAGTCCAGCAGCGGCAGCAGAGCCCCAGACACTACTCTGTCGCCCGTTTGCCCACACAGCACGCAGCAGCGTCCGTCCCGTTCTGCAATTTTGCAAGAAGCAGAGAGCAAACTGCTGCTGCTGCAGCTGCCGCAGCCGCAGACGCGAGGGTCTCCATTGCGGAGTCGCAGCGCAAGCAGACGAACGAGAACAGATGGAATCGCTGCTGTGTCAACTGCTTGGGTCCCACAGTTTTCGCTGCTGCTCCTGCGCTCCATGCAGGAGACGGCGCGATGAAGCCTGCAGAAGAGCTGCCGCCGCACAGCTCGTAGCTCCCGCCATTCAGGGGCACATGGTGGAAAGCCTCCTGAGGCAGCAGCGGCAGCAGCAACGACGCCAGGAGCAGCAAGGGGAATAGCAGGAAGGGCAGTAGCAGCAGGAGCAGCAGCATCTGAACCAAGACGCCGCTGCATAGCCAGTCGCTCACAAGCTTGCGACAACGTCAGGAGCACCTAAATCGCATGGCAGACATAAGTTGAACAAAATTAACGTTTAATATCGCCTGGCATGCACTCTTTGACTCGCTTGGGTGGTGTGCTGCCAGCAAAAGACTCTGTATAACACTTTAGTCGCGTCTTGCTGCAGCAGTGGCTACCCAGGCATACCCGCGGGTCCCGCTGCTTCTCTTCTCGCTTTGACTGAGGCCGCCATTGCAACAAAACAGATGATATGAATACAGACAGCACTGTCGGTAGATTGACAAAGGTCTGCAGCAACGAGAACAAGTCCAGGGCCAACTTGTGATAGTCCTCATTTTGTTGCTGCTTGTGTTGCTGCTGCTGCTTCTGATGCTGTTGACAAGAGGGCTCCTCCCATTGTACAGCTCGCAGCAGATGCCCGGTGAGTTCGGCAATGGCGAGTCGCAGTTCTGTCTGCTGCAGCTGGTGCCGGCCTGCTGCTGTTGCTGCCGCTACAGAACTGCTGACCAACTGCCCCGCAGAGTTGCTGTTGCTGTCCTGCGGGGAATCCATCAGAGGCAGAAGCGTCTGCTCGAGCAGCGCATGAAGCTGCGAGTAAACTGATGATGCCACCTGGGCCCGAGAAAGCAGCTGCGATAGTGCCCCGGGCTGCGTCAGCAGGGGAGACGGAGAAGCAGTGCAGCCTTTCCCTGCTGCTGCTGCTGCTGCTGCATTCGTGGTTGCTGCACTTGGTAGCGGTTCATCTGCGAGTGCTGCGCAGGAGACGCAGAGACCTTCGAGCCCATCTAGCACAAATACAGGGAGTCGCCTTTTGCTCGTATTGCTGCTGCCGCCCCCAGAGAAACGAGCTGCAAGGCCCCTTGCCCCTCCCGCTGCAGCAGGTAGACGCTTCGTTAGTGATCCACAAAGGGCGCACACTGTCACTACACCTCGGCTGCTGCCCCCATCCCCAACTCTCTCATCCGCTGCCCGTGCTGTGCTTGCTTGTCCTGCTGGCACTCGCAGGCCCGCTGCGTCTGCTGCTCCTGCTGCTGCTGCTGCGCCATCGTTTTGCTGTCCTGAAGGGGCACCGGAACTAGCATCGCGAGGCCGCTGCTGCAGCTGCTGCTGGCCAGACCCACCTGCAGCAGGCGACACCAGTAGCTGCTGCTGGAGTGGCTGCAGAGCAGCGCGTAAGGCCAGAGGAGCCGGCACGCCATTGCTGCTGCAGTCCCCGCACAATAGTGAGAGTCTACCACAGCGCTGCCAGGCGCAGCTCTCCACCCTCACAACCATTTGCTGCTGCTGCAGCTGCTGCTGCTGCACTTGTTGCGGCTGCAGATGCAGCGTTGAAACGTGCCCATGAGGTGCGGCAACAGAGTCCGGAGACATGCCCCAAGCGCCCATCCGCAACTGCTGCTGCTGCTGCTGCAGAGGAGACAAAACAATGCTGCCAGGGGAAGCGCGAGGCTGTCGGGACACTTGCTGCAACAGTTGCTGTTGAAGCAGTGGAGAAGCCCCAGGGATGTGGTGCTGTGGTTCCTGTAGCAGCTGCTGCTGGAGCAAGGGCCGCTGTAGGAACTGTTGCTTCAGAGATTGCGAAGAAAGTTGTTGGCTCACCTGCTGCTGCTGCTGTGGCGGTTGCTGCTGTTGTCGGGGGTCGCCGGCTCTGGCATCGAAGCCGTCGAACGACAACGCAGCACTGGGCGACACTAGCTGTCTTGGAGCTCCTGGCAGCTGCTCCTGCTGCAGTTGAAACAGGCGCGAATGCTGCTGCTGCGCCACACTGACAGGTAGCTGCGCAGCAGCAGACGGTGCTGCAGCAGGAGGAAGTATGCGAAGTCCCGCTTGCCCCTGCAGCGCTTGGATCAGCTGCTCGTTTCTCAAGATTAGGGCAGACTGGCGTTGTAACAGCTGCTGCTTCAGCACAGCAGAGTCAGCACTATAAGCGCTGCCTGCAACTGAACTGCCAGTGCCAAGCAAAGGGGAGATCAAGGACCTCTGCTGCTGGTGTTGCTGCTGCTGCTGCGCTGGCACAGTCGATCCAGCCCACAGCAATGGCTGTGGGGAGGATTCGTTTTGCTGGGCATGATTCTGCGGGAATTGAGGCGGGGGCTGTTGCTGGTGGCAAGGATCTGCTGCCAGTTGCTGCTGCGGCTTCGGCTGGTCTGCGACGTCGCATGGCTCTGTCGCTTCAACAGGTGTCTGAGGAGATGCTGCAGACGACGTAGCCGTTGCAGCTGCTGCTGGTGCTATTACTGCTTCGCCTGCTGAAGCTTCCGAAGGTGCTGCGCTCAATAGTGCTTCCGCCAATTCTGCTGCTTTTGAAGGCAGCGCCCTCGTGGGCGTAGCAGCACATGAGGCGCCACCTAGTTGTGGCGCAGCAATCGCAGCAGACACTGCTTCTGCTGCAGCAGCTGCTGCTTCTGTTGCTGCAGCAGCAGCTTCAGCAACTACGGCTGCTGCCTGAGCATCAGCAGAAGATGGCGTAGGGCTGCTTGCATTCCCATGTGCTGTTGCAGGTGCTGACTGTGTCCCCCGGAGCTTCTCCAGCTGCAACTGCAACCTGACTTGCTGTTGCTGTAGCTGCATTTGCTGTTGCTGTAACTGGAAGTGTTGTTCTTGCTGCAGAAGCTGCTGCTGATTTGCTGCACTAGCCTTTGCTGTGCCTTCTGCAGAAGTGCTGCCATCAGTTGCTCTTTCTAGTTGAAGCGCACTCCTGCTGGACAGCTGCTGCTGCTGCGCGTGCAGCTGATGCAATGCTTGCTGTTGCTGCCGTTGGTGCTGCTGCTGCAGCAGTGCCATTTGAGAAGTCTGTTGCGGAAGCTTCTGTTGCGTTTGCAGCATAGTCGTCCTAAGCAGCATTAAGGGCTGCTCCGCCTCTTGCTGCTGCTGTCCTGTTTGTCGCTTTTGAAAAGCCTGCTGCTGCTCCAGATGATTTCCACCCTGGTGGCGTTGTTGCGTCTGCAGCATGGGCTGCTGTTGCTGCCGCAAGTGCTGCCGCTGTTGCTGCTGCTGTCTAGCCACGCCATCAAGCTGCCGTTGCAGACTGTTCATTCTTTCCTGAATAAGCTGCTGGAGTTGCTGATGCTGCTGCGGCTGCTGCTGCTGCGCGGTCTGCTGCATACGATACTGCTGCTGCAGCTGCTGCTGAGATGGGAATTGTTGCGAAGGTGTTAGCAGCTGCTGCTGCCGAAGATAATTTTGTGACTGCTGTTGTAACAGTGTATGCTGCGGCTGCTGTTGCAGCAGCCGCTGCAGCTGCTGTTGATTGACCAGCTGCTGCTGTGGTTGCAGAGTACTCAGCGCGACAGCTCCTGCCACCGTTTTGTGCTGTAAAATGTCTGGAGCCGAAGTTGAAGTAGCTGCTGCGGTTGCTGCAGTAGAAGCAGCATTGGCGACAGAAGCCATGGCTGGTGCCATAGCCCGAGTCATTTTGTGTTGCTGCTGTTTTGGGTTTCGTAACACCTTTGCGTCTCTGCTGCTTTTCAAAGTAGCCGCAGCAGCAGGAGGTACTTGCAGCTGTTCGCGAGACAGTGGCAGTCCTGTCCACAGTCCTTGCTGCTGCAGGAAGCCCTTTTGCTGGTGCACTAGCCCCTGTTGCGGGCTATGCAGCACTTCTTGTTTCGTTACTACCTCCTCTACCCTGTAGAGGCAGCGGCTGTGCGCCGCAGCTCCGCAGTCACTGCAGAAGCAAATGTCCAGCATGCGATCAACAGCTGTAGAGGCAGCAGCAGCAGCAGTGACAGTCCCTGCTGCTGGGTCAGACTGCCAGCGTGGTTTGCGCCTTTGTAGCTGCTGTCGCTGCTCGTGGGGCAGCATTCCAGCAGCAGCTGCTGCTGCTCTGTCTCGTATATTTCTTGGGTCCCACAGGGAAAAACAAGGAGCAGCATTTCCACAAGAGACGCAAGACAAACACGCAGGACACTCAGCTGTCGTCAAAAGAAAGTCCATTTCGCTGCTGCTGCTGCCGTTGCTGCTGCCGCTGCCGCAGAGAGACGCCAACGCCGCTTTCTTCTTATCAAGGGCCCCTGGAGGCGAAACTCCCAAGCAATACGAATGGAAGGCCTCGCCGCAGCAGCGGCAGTGCAAGAGCAGCTGCTGGTACGCGAAGGATCCGCAAATGCTGCAGCAATCCAGCCACAGATGTGGCGCTACTGGTTCATCTCCTTCAGCAGCAAGGCCATCAGCGAAAGCCGTTTCTTTGCCTGAAGCCCCAAAAAGACAGTGAAAAGCCTGCAAATATGAGGCCACATCCGCTGCTGCTGAGAAGACAGCAACGCAAGACGGCAGCCTTCCCTTGTACACCTGAAGCGCGCCAGTTGCAGATACGGCTGCTCCCAGATCTCCCGCTGCCGGTGCACCAGTGGCAGCCGGTGCTGCTGCAGTTGCTATGGCTGCTGAAAATGCGCGCTTCTGAAGTTGCTGCTGCTGCTGCTGAAGATCAAAGTCCTTCTTTCGTTTCTTCCTCTGAGCTGCCGCGCTGCGCCGTGTCTCCACGCTCGTGCTGTGTGACGGCTGTTGCGGCTGCTGCTGCTGCAGGTGCTCCTGCTGCTGCTGAGGCACTTCTGAGACAGAAGCAGCTGCCAGCCTACTCACGCATACAGGCAGCTGCAGCAAATAAATTGCCTGGCCGGGTGGGGGAGGCGGAGGCTGCGGGATAGAAAGGAATGAATGCGGCAGCAGCATATCGCCAAGTTCCGTGCTGCTGCTACTGCTGCTGCTGAAACACCACTGTAGGGCAGGAGGCGGACCAAAGCAAGGGACAGCTGATAAAGGAGAAAGCGAAAAACCGCAGGGAAAGTGTGGCTGTTGATTGCGCAGAAGCTGCCGTATCCCCTTAACAGCAGCAGCAGAGTGAAGCTGCAGCAGCTGCTGCGTCGTGAACGCCGCTGCTGCTGGATCGAGTGGGGAATCAGCAGCAGCTGCTGCTGACAATCCAGAAGGCGGAGTGTCCCTGCTTCTCGTGAATCCCTTCGCGCTGCCGCGGCGAAGGCCGGCGGCAACCTTTGCTTGGTGTCCCACCTTGTCCACCGCAGACTCGAGCCCGTCATCTGTTGAAACAGCTGCTGCTGCTGCAGCTGAGCCGGAGTCTGCTGCTGTCCCATGAAACTCACTTTTTGCCATGCCTCGCTCCTCCCCAGTAGGGGTCTGGTTCGTTTCTCGCGCCTTTTCACTGGTACCCGTGTTGCTGCTGCTGCTGCTGCTGCTGGGACTCGGAGGTATGTGTGAGTCCAGAAGGGCCAGGGGCTCCTTGTGGGGAAGTTCGAGGACGCCTGTTAGGAGCTCGTTTGCTTTCTTTTGCATAGCAGCTGCCGCCTTGTACTGCCTTGTGTTGGGCATGTAAAGGGTTTTCATGTTTTGAATCAGGAGGGAAATATCGCTCAAGAAAGATCCTAAGGAGGAGTAGGCGTTGCTGCGCACCTTCGATTTCACTGTAGACAGACACATGGGCCGCTGCACAACTCGCCAGTACAGCGAAAATGTCGCATCCGGCAAAAACGAAAACTCTCCACTGCGGTCTTGGGACATCAACTCAGCCACGATGCGCTCATAGCGCTGCCGGCGAGACGGCGAGCGGCACGACGGGCACCTGCAGCACCAGGACCAAAGCCCGCAGCCATAGATGCACGGCAGCAGCAGCAACGGCAGCAGCAGCAGGAGCAGCAGCATCCTCGCAATATAAGACGCAGCGCTTCGGCACAGGCTGCAGGCATTTAGAAAAACAGCTCTGGCACTAAGCAACCCGAATCGGCCTCCCAAAGCCATTCATTATGCTGCCTAGGTGCACGCAGCAGCGACAGCAGCAGCGATGGCAGCAGCTGCAGCAGCAGCGGAAACATGATGTACCTGTATTTCATGGTCTTCAGCTGCTGGGGATCCTGCAGGCCCTTGGCCAGTCGGGGGTCGCACCGGGTGTGGATCCAGGCCTTGCAGCCATCACACTGCACCCAAGTTTCTACAGAGCCCCCCCCCGGCCCCGTGCACCCCGCGCTGCCTGCTGACAAATCCTCTCCTCCTGCTCCATCGGCCACCCATGTTTTGGAGCACATGAAGCAGAACTGGCCCTCGTCTACGCTCCGGCGACAGCTGCGGGCACATAGATTCTCAGCCACTGCTGCTGCAGTTCCTGCTGCAGGTGGTGCTGCTGCTGCTGTTGCTGCGTGGGTGCTTCTACCAAGAATGAGTGTTGCTGCTGTTGCTCACGGCGCTAGCGTGCACGAACAGCCCACGACACCGCTAGCTGTGATTGAATATCTCGCTTCACATATTATCAGCTGAACCCGAAGCCCTAAACAGTGAAGACTGAACCCTGAATCCGGAGACCCATACCCTAGCCCTAAAGCCAAGCTTACTGTGCACAAAGCAGGAAAGACGTGGGATCCCAGTTTGCATACTCGGGCCAGTAGAGGTCCACGTAGCCGCAGCTAGTGCATCGCCTGCAAGAGTCGCAGCGGTAAGACGAAGAGCCATGCAAGATGGCGGCCTGCAGCGCACGGATCCAACAGCAGCCACAGCAACAGCTGATCCAACTGCAGGCATTCAGACACTATGGGATGCACAGGCATGGTGAGACACAGCTGCTGGCACAAACGGACAAACAGAAATATGAATTGACCAGAAGAAACACATTCAAATAGCCCCTGTGGAGAAAACTGGGTCCGGGACAGACGCGTCGTTCAGCCGGAGCTGCTGCAGAAGCAGCAGCATCGCTCCCGCGATCACGTACACTGGGGTAGCAGCAAGCGCCGTGGGCGTAAGAATTGCAGCAGTGGCAGTTCAGGACCGGCTGGCAGGTGGCCTCATACTGGGTCGGGCTGGAGGCAGTGCCTGGAGCCGCGCGATTTGCTGCTGTTGCTGCAGCTAGCGCAGCAGGGCTTCTTTCGGCAGTCAGGGGTAAGTCTATTGGCTCGCAGCAGTACAAACAGTGCGCACAGTCCCTGCACACCCAGGGAGTACGTACACCCCGGTCATTTCGCCCGCCCTCCTCCAGCCCCAAAATACTTCGGGGGTTTGGAAACAGCTGCACTTTTAGCGTGGCCCTGGACGCTGTGGAGTTTGCTGCATTCTCTTCAGATTGCTGTTGCTCCGGCCGCGGCGACAGCTGCTGCTGCTCTTGCTGCTGCTGCTCTTGCTGCTGCTGTTCTTGCTGCTGCTGCTCTTGCTGCTGCCGCTCTTGCTGCCGCGCCTCTTGCTGCTGCTGCTCTTGCTGCTGCTCCTGCTCGGCAAGATGCGGCGGATTCCCTGGCTCCTCTTCCATTCGATCGGCTAGTTGCTGTTCCTCTCGCTCCTTTTCCCCTTGCTGCTTTCTCTCCTCTTGCTGCTCCTCCCCCTCCTCCCGCTGCTGCTGTTCTTGCTGATCCTTTTGTTGCTGTGGGGCTTCCAAAAGCTCAGCGTCAACTAGCATGCTTTCCTCGCCTTCCCTCTGCTGCTCGGCCGGTGCAAGGTCGTGTTGCTGGCTGGCTTCTTCCTGTTCCTGCTGCATCTGCTGCTGCTCTTCGCACTGTTTTGCCTGTTGATGAGACTGTACTTTTTGCTGCTGCTGCTGCTGCTGCTGTTGCTGCTGCTGCTTGGCAGTGACTGTGACGGCCGGGGCGGGCACATCTTCCGTGCCGATTTCATCACCAGGGTGTCTCGAAAGCCTCCAGTGAAGAGAACCCTGGCGAGACAAAAGGGCGGACTGGGCCCTTGCGAAGGCCAGGGGCAGAGTGCAGAAGCGGGCCAGGGAGAAGGAGCGCCGCAGCGCGCGGGCCTCTTGCTGCTTCTTGAACCCAAGCAGCAAACCCGCTCGGGCAGCAGCAGACAGCCCCACCGGCAAAGACACAGCACGAGACGGCACTACGAAAGTGCTCAGATATGCCTTGCGTGCCCGGTCGTAAACAACGCTGCTGGGGGACAGCGGCCAGCCACTTGCTGCAGCGGACAATAGCAGCACATGGCAGCAGCAGCAGCGGCTGCAGCAGCAGAGGAACAAACGTTTCACGGGGAGGGAAATGCAACACCTGCTGAAGCAACTCACCTGCGTCATCTGCACCCTCCTCGGGTTGCTGCTGCAGCAGCAGCGACCCCAGCGACCCCCCGTCTTCGAGCAAGTCCTGTTGCTGCTGCTGCTGGTCAGCGGCCGGGGAGGACACGGCTTCATAGCGGTAGTACTTGCTGTCTCTGCTGCTGCTGGTGCTTCTTCTGCTGCTGCCCTCCGCCGCAGCTTCTCTCTCTTTCTTGTGGCGCTCTATGGCCGCCTCTCGCTCCGCCACCAGCTTACGGTGCCGCGCAGCTTCCATACACAGGGCATGCGGCGACATCCTGAGCAGCAGCAGCGGCAGAAACACAGGGAGCAAAAGCCTGAAGCAACACCAGCAACAAAAGCTGACTTCAGCAGCAACAACTGCAGCCGAGTCAAGCAGCAGCAGCAGCATCTACGAACCGCCGTCTTACTATCCTGCAGTGCTCACTTCAAACCCTGAACCAGAAACCCTAAACCCTAAACCCTAAATCCTATAACTCCCAAGCGCACCCGCCAGTGGCAATGCGCCTGTGGGCCGGCCGAATGCAGGCCGTGTGGAAGACGCGCCGACAGCAGCAGCACTGCAAACCCCAGTAGAGGTTGACGGCTTCTGCAGTGTCTGTGTCTCCTAGAGAAGAGGGTGCGGCATTGTTTGCGTTTCCGTTGCCGCTGCTAGTACTGTTACTTTTGCTGCTGCCTGTTGCTGCCACATCCCCTTGTGCGTCTGCCGGTGCTGGCCCTGCAGCAGCTGCTGCTGCTACTGCTGCTTGCGCTGCATTACTGGGCTCGGCCCAGGAAGGGTAGCTCTTCAGGAGCTCCCTGGGGGCGACCTCAGGCGGCACCTCCACGGGCTGGCCCGGGGTCATAATGTAGTAAACTGGTTTGCTGCAGCTTCGGCATCTCTGGGCTCTGCTGCTGCTACTTTGGCCGCTATTTTTGCCATCTCCGCTGTCTGCGTCGGTGGGAGCAGAGTTCCTGGCTTCCTGGGGAGGCAACGACTGCCACGGGGAATCTGCGGCTGCCTTTTTCTGTTGTGTGTGTTGGCTGTCGCCTTGCTGGGTCTCTTGGCCCGCATCTGCGTCTGCGTGCTGCAGCAGCTCTTGCTGCTGCTGCTGCGTGGGGCAGCTGGCGCCTCTGGGGTGCTGCAGCTTGTCTCGAGGCAGCTGCAGGGGCACTGCCACCTCGGGGCGCCACCAAACAGGCTCCGGCGAAGCAAGACGAATGATGTCGTGGGCCAGAGAAAACCAGCCGCGGTGAGTTTCCTCAGGGGAAAAGGGCAGCTGGTGGGCGGCGAGGTGCAGCGGCGGGGCGTCAGCGGGGCTGCAGATGTCTTGCTTGTTCGTAGACAGCAAAAAGTGCACAAAGACAGACCGGTATTTCGGCCAGTAGTACTTCAACACCCCCTCTGCCCAGTCGAAGCTCTCGGGGCTCTGCCGGTCCCGCCACGCCCGCACCACTCGCACGCGGCAGCCCACGTAGGCAAACACTGCAGCAAACACGGACCAGTCGAGAGAAAAAAGCCAAAATAAACATAAGACGAAGAGGCGATACGGGGCATATACTGGCATAAATGTGGGAAGATGAATGGGAAGTGGGGAGAACACAGAAAGGCAGTAAGGGGGCAGGAACGAGGCAACATTGAGGCAGTGGTGAGACACAATGAGGCAGTACAAAGGCAGCAAAGAATAAGTGGAGAAGCAGCGAAGCAGCAGCAATGAGAAAATTAGAATGCACCCAGATACAAATATAAAATGAAAGCAGCTGGCGGCGCAGGTGACAGGGACAGAGCGAGGCAAAGGCACCAATAAAAGATGAAGGAAGGAACAACACGAGGAGGCCAATTAGTTCCAAATTCAAAGGCACTTCCAGCTAGCCATGGAAATATTCGGCTAGCTAGCTAGTTAGCGAGCCAGCTGGCTACGAGCCGCCCCAGGCATTCACTCGAAGAAGGCCAGCTCCGCCTCACCTTGCCTGTCTTCTCGAAATTCCAGCTTTTGCCCATACGCAGCAAAAGGGTCCTCTGGAGCCTCTTTCTCCTTCGCTGCTGCTGCTGCTGCAGGCTTCTGAGTTGCTGGCTTTGCTGCCCGCTGCACAGATTGCTGCTGCCTCTGCTGCTGCTGCTGTTGCTCCTGCTGCTGCTGCTGAGGATTCGCAGGCTCCTGTAGCTGCTTCAGCATTGTGCGCGTAAGACGAATACCAGCAGCAGCCAGCAAGGACTCCAATCCCTCCTCCTCCCCTGATGCAACAGCAGGCGCAGCACCTGCAGCAAGCACAGCAGAAGCAGCAACTGCGGCATCAATGCAACAGCAGCCACACTTTCAGCAGGAAGGACCAGCGGCAGCAAAAACAGCAGCCGAGTAGCGACACAAGCAGAGGCAGCCGCTGTACATGCCACACATACAGCAGCAGCAAAAGCAGCAGTAACAACAAAAGAGCAGACTTGTCGCGTTTGTAGTCTCGGAGCTCTTGAGAGGAGCCGCAGACTCTGCTGTTTCTGTTGCTGCTGCTGCCGTAGCTACCGGCGTCTCCGGCGGCGATGCCCCGGCCGCTGTTTGGTCTGCTGGTGCTGCAGATGTCGTTGCTTCAGCTTCTTTCTGCTGCTGCGTCTGCTCCTTCGTTGCTGCTGCTGCGTCTTCAGGTGCCGCTGTTGCCGCAGCTGCTGCATCAGCGGGAGCCCGTTCGCTAGCCGTTGCTTCTCTCTCTGCCGTAGGCAGCTGTGAGCTCTGTTGCTGCTCCTGCTGCTTTTGCTGTTGCTCTTGCTGCCTTTGCTGTTGCTTCTGCTGCTGTTTCTGCTGCTGCTGCTTCTCGTGTAGTTTCACTTGTTGCTGCTTCTGCCCCCTTCGCTGGGTCGCCTCACTTTTTGCTTGGCTACTGCGACCTGCCGTTGAAGGTGTGCTGCTGCTGCTGCTGCTACCGGTCTTGGAGCTGCTGCTGTTGCTGCTGCTGCCCATGCTGCTGTTGCGCGCAGCATTTCTGCGCGGCTCTATGGGCTGGTAGTTTTCCTGCAGCAGACCCCACAGCTCGCGAGAGACCCGAGTTTCCCCCGATTTTGTGTTCTTCTTTTTGCTGCTGCTGCCGCCCCCAGACTTTGCCGCTGCCGCCTTCTGGGACTTCGCCTTCTTGCCAGCTTGCGACTCGTCAGCTTCGAGTTGCTGCTCTCGCTGCTGTGGTTCCTGCTGCTGCTGCTCCAGCTGCTGCTGCTGTTGCTGCTGCCTTTGGGCTTGTTCCTGTTTATGTTCCCCTTGATTCTCCTGGTCTTCCTGTTCCTTTTTCTGTGGCTCTTGCTTGGCCGAATGCTGCTCTTGTTGCGGCTCCACCTGCGGATTGACTTGCTCCTTCTGCGTTTCTTGCTGCTGCTGCACCTGCTGCTGCTGCTGCGGCCCCTGTTGCTCGTTGGGCTCGTGCTTTTCCTGTTGCGATGCTGCAGCTGCAGCCTCTGTCCCAACAGCCTGTCCCTCCTCTCGCTGCTCTTCTGCGTCTTTCTCTGTTTGCTGCTTCTGCTGCGGCTTCTCATTGGTGCGACACGGTGACTTCTCCTGTGTTTCTGAGGCTGCAGCAGCATGCGCAGCAGCAGCAGCATTGGCAGCAGCTGCTGAGCTGCCAGCGTCAACTTCCTCCTTGCCTCTCGCGCCTCGATCTCCACTTACTTTATGTGCTGCTGCTTTGGCTGCTACTGCACCTTCAAGCTTTGCTGCTTCTGCAGGTGAGGGTGCAGCGGCAGGCGCTGCAGCTGCTGCTGCCGCTGCCGTTGCTGCTGCTGCCGCGTCGCAGTCTGCTTCCCTTTTGCTGTCTTCACTGCTTCTATGCTGCACCTCGGCAGCGCCCTCGACCGACTCTGTTACTTCGGGAGGGGCAGTCGCCGCTGCTGCAGCGGCTGCGGTTGCTGCTGCAGTAGCAGCAGCAGCAGCAGCAGGTGCATCATCATCAGTGGGCGCCTCTGCGCCCTGCTGTGGTGCAGCGTCCGCTGCTGCGCTGCTGCTGTCTTCCGCTGTGCCTCCTGCTGCTGCTGCAGCATCTTGCTCAGCAGCAGCAGCAGCAGTAGGGCCTTTGGTTTCCCCCTGCTTCGCAACGTCTGCAGTTGCTGCTGCTGCCGCTGCAGCTTCTACTGACTTCGATTCTTGTGTGCCTTGTCCTGTTGCTGCGGCTGCTGGTGCAGCCGACGGACTCGGCAAGCTGGAGTCTCCTGGCGACTCCAGGTTGCGGTCCTTTCTAACGTAAATCGTGCTGCTGTCTTGCTGCTGCTGCTGCTGCTGCTGCTGCTGCTCCTCTGCGCTTCCTTCGGTGAAAAGATGCATGTCTGTGACCGGCGTCCCTGCTGCTGCGAGCGACTGTCTCTGCTGCAGCAAGACCTTTTTGTACTCGTTTAAAGCTGCCTCTGCTGCAGCAGCGCCGCCGAAGCCTCGCTGCACTGCAGCAGCAACAGCAGCACGGCCCCACGCCTCCAGCCGCTGCAGCTCCACTTCCCGGCTATCTCCCCAGGGGTTGTCCGGGTCAGCAGCAGGAAGCGAAAGATCTGCTTTTTCTGCAAGGGCCCGGATCTCCGAAGCAGCTGCTGCGCCCCACACGTGCGCTGTTTCCTGCGGGTCTTCTGCTGCTGCTGATGCTGCTGCTGCTGCTGCAGGCCCTCCCGGGACGCCCATGGAAGCTGCGGCCGCAGCAGACGGCCCGCTGCGGGCCCACCCATATGCCCTCTGCGGCGGCGAGGGGTGCCTCAAGTGGTGCTGCTGCGCTAGGTGGTGCTGCTGCGCCCAGTGCTGCTGCTGCTGCTGCTGCTGCGGATGCAGTGGCTGGTGAAATCTGTGCTGTGAGTACTGCGGCTGCGGCGCTGGTCGGCGGGGGGTCCCCCTCCAGCCCTGGCTCTGTCGCTGGGCTCCGGAGTCAGCAGCAGCAGCAGCAACAGCTGCTGCTGCTGCTGCTGCTGCTGCTGCTGCTGCTGCTGACTCTCCCGACCCCGACCCCGCGCTGAAGTCCCCCGCCCCAGCACCCCGGTACCCTCCAGCTGGGCCAAACTGCCCACGGGGGCCCCAGTGGCCCTGAGGGGCCCCTACCAGATGCCCCTGGGGGGCCCCCAGTGGCTGCCCCTGGAGGGCCCCCAGCGAATGCCCTTGGGGGCCCCCTGCTGCTGTGGGCTGTGGGGCCTCTACAACGTCCCAGCCTCCTCTAGACCGCTGGTAGTGGCTCCTGCTGCTGCGGCGGCTGTGGCTGCTGCTGCGGCGGCAGCGGCTGCTGCTGTGGCGGCCGCGGCTGCTGCTGCGGCGATCGCGGCTGCTGCTGCGGCGGCCACGGCTGCTGCTGCGGCGGCCACGGCTGCTGCTGCGGCGGCCACGGCTGCTGCTGCGGCTGCGGCTCGCGCGGCCCCTGCTGCAGCTGCGGCGGCCTTTGCCGCAATAACGACTGCTTCCTCTTTCTCTCCAGATGCTCCCACTGTGTCTCTCTGCTGCATGACTGTAGCTGTCCCGCTGCTGCTGCTGCTGCTGGCTCCAGTGCTGCTGCTGCTGCTGGTGATCATGTGGGGACGCTGCAGCTGCTGTGTCCGGGCCCACGTCAAAGCCCCTTCTGTAAGGTATGCCGCTGCTGCTGCTGCTGCTGCTGCTGCTCGGCCTTGAACCAACGGAATCCCAGCCGCTAATCCTGTCTGAGCTTCCAACGCACTGGCCGGTGCCGTGCTTGCTGAAATCCCTGCTGCTGCTGCTATTGCTGCTGCTGCTGCTGCTGTTGTAGCTGCGGCTGCTGTGGCTCAAACTCTTGTGGGTAGCATCTCGTGTGCTCCCACCTCCAGGACTGTAGACACCAACGCTACTGCTGCTGCTGCTGCTGCTGCAGCTGCTGCTGCCACGAGGAGCAGCGTATCCTACTGGGACCCCACATGCAGTACTTGAGGACTGCTGCTGCTGCTGTCGCTGCAGCTGCTCCCTTTCAATCTCAGCCGGTGTCTGGTCCCATCGACTGCGTCGCTTAGGCGCGGCGCTTGCTGCTGCTGCCCCTGCAGCAGCAGCAGAAACTCCTGACTTTGGGGCCCCAGGGGGGCCCATCTGAGTGTTGCCGCCGTCCATCGGCTCCTAGCAGATACTCCCAGTGAGCGCTCGCCCCAGAAGGAAGCGGCGCAGTCTCCTCCAGTTGCTGCTGCGTTTGCTGCATTGACTGCAGCAGCAGCAGCAGCAGCACCTGCTGCGGCAGGTGCTGCCACAGCAGCAGCAGAGGGCGTCGTAGATGCCTCAAGCTGCAGAGCTGTCAGATCCAGCGGACTCACGTGAACTTCGAAGCTCCAGTTGTCATCCTGATATTCGTGCAGAATCCGTTCCTGCTGCTGCTGCTACTGCAGCGGCGAAGCTGCAGTCGGTGGCGCTGGAGGGCTCGCTGTGGCCGTCACCACTCCTTAACCTCCTCTCTTAAATAAAAATCAAGGAAATGTTCTACACCGCAGTCGTCGGGATGCAGCAACAGCCACACAGGGAGGCCCCCCGCATGCAGCCACAATAGCAGCAGCAAGCGGAGCAGCAGCAGCAGCAGCGAGAGCAAAAAGTAGCTGCTGCTGCTGCTACGCCGGACGATCCGGGGCTCTGTGAAATTCATGGCATTACCAGGTCATTTTAAATCCCCATAAACCGCGGGAAAGGCAAAGGCAGCAACAATGGCGGGGGTTGGCGGCAGCTGCGACTCGACGCCCCCAGGCAGTGCAGCAACAAGAACAGCAGCAGCGGCAGCAGCAAAGGTGAAGCCGAAGCAGAAACCCCAATAGCAGCTTTGGTTGGGCAGCGCCTTAAAGGTTTCGCCAGACTGATCCCATGCGAAGCCTCACCGCTGCACAGTCGGCAGCAGCAGAGGCAAAGACAGCAGCAACTGCTGCGGCAGCAGCGGGGAAAGCAGCAGCAGCTCGAAATTGTGGGTGGGGTGTCCCACTAAATGCAGTAGTGCGCGGAGCAGCAGCCACACACCGGGGGCGCTGAGCTGAATAGTGCTGCAGCTTCTGTAGCTGGGCTGGGCATCGGAGCAGCAGCAGCAACAGCAGCAGCAGTGCCGAGGGTGACAGCAGAAGCAGCAGCAGGCATCTGCTGCGTAAGGAGCAGCAGCTGACAGGCCCTGCTTACTGATGGCCCCGCTGAGGGCTTCAGGGTGCGTAGCCTTACGACCACTGCTGCTGCTGCCGCTGCTGCTGCTGGCATTCTGCTGCTGTTCCTCAGCGTCAAGCCGACTCTCCCGCTGCGCATCCTTCTTGCTTTCATTCCCAGTGGCAGGAAAGGGGGCTACGGGAGCAGCAGCAGCAGCAGCAGCAGCAACGGCAGCAGCAGCAGCGACAGCAGCAACTCGAAAAGTCCTCCCACGAACGGCCCACTGCGCGGCGAGTGCTGGCGCACCTGCAGGGCATGCGCCTGTTGCACCGTCACCCCTCGTGCTGCAGCTGCAGCAGCAGCTGCAGCAGGAGCAGCACGCAGCAGCAGAGGACGGAAAGAGCCAGGGAGAGATCCTGCGCCTAGAAGGGGTGTCTGTACACTCCGGCGCTGCTGCGCTGCTGCAGCAGGTGTCGCTGCAGCTGCAGCGGCACGAAAAGCTGGCCCTAATCGGCAGCAATGGAGCGGGAAAGACCACTTTGCTGCATGCGATTGCAGCTGCTGCTGCGCAGCAGCAGCAGCAGCTATTTCAACAGTTGCAAAAGCAGCAGCAGCTCAGGCAGCAGCAGCAGCAGCAGGAGAAAAGTAGTGGAAGCTCTGAGCAGCGAACTCATCGCCAAAAATTGAGTAAGGCTGCGCGTAGACAGCTGCGGAGGATGTCCTCTCAGCCGCAGCAGCAGCCGCAGCAGCAGCCGCAGCAGCAGCCTCCACCGCCGCCGCAGCAGCAGCAGCTTCAAGAGCAGACACAGGAGCAGCAGCAGCAGCAGAGTCCATTTGAAATGGGAACAGGTGTCGTCTCAGGCCTCATTCGCTTCAAATGCTCCCCTTCTCGCGTGGCGCTGCTGCAGCAAGAGGGCCTCGAAGGCTTCAGTGCTGCTGCTGCAGCAAAGACCGTCAGAGAGGAAGTGTACAGCCACCTGCGGCAGCAGCAGCAGCAGCTGCAGTATCAGATAGAGCAGCAACGAAGACTGCTTCAGGACCTCACTCTGAACAGCAACAACAGCAGCAGCAGCAGCAACTCGCAGGCACCGGACCGTGCTATGCTGGCTGCAGCGTCACAACTGTCTCAACTGCAGCAGCAGCAGCAGCAGCAGGAAGATGATGAGCGGTGGGTAGCTACGGTGCTGCACCATGTAGGCTTTTCAGAGCAGCAGCAGCAGCAGCAGCAACTCGGGACCCTCAGCGGCGGGGAACGAATGCGTTTGCTGCTTGCGAAGGCGCTATGTGGGCGGCCTTTTTTGCTGCTGCTGGATGAGCCGACGAACCACTTAGACGCTACTTCTGCTTCTGCGTTGCAGCAGCTGCTGCAGCAGCTGCCGCTTCCTATGATAATTGCTTCTCACGACCGCCAGCTGCTGCAGCAGGTCTGCAACGGAGTGTTGCTGCTGCGGCGTGGCTGTCTGGGTCCGAAGTTCGTTGGCTCTGTGGCTTCTTTTCAGCAGCAGCAGCAGCAACAGCAGCAGCAGTGGGTTGCTGCTGTGCAGAAGCAGCAGCAGCAGCTGCAGCAACTGCAGCAGAAGCTGCACAGACAGCGGGGGCCGCCAACTGCAGCAGATCAGACGCTGCTGCAGCAGCTGAAGCAGCCGCCTCCACCCCCTGCCTCTCACGAGCCAGTAGGGAGGCCCCCAGTCTTCTTGCTGCCGCACAGCCCCCAAAGAGCAGCAGAAATAATGGCTTTAAGGGGCTGCACTCTTGTCGTCTCCAGCAAGTGTGACCAGCAGCAGCAGCAGCAGCAGCAGCAGCAGCAGCAAGAGGAGAAGGAGGTCCTGCGTGACGTGACCTTAGTGGTCCGGCGGGGCTCGAAAATAGCCATTGTGGGTCCCAACGGCAGCGGCAAGTCAACTCTCCTCAAGGCGCTGGCGGGCCAGGTGCGAGGGGAGCAGCAGGAGCTGGAGCAGCAGCAGCAGCAGCAGCAGCAGCAGGAAGTGATGATAACATCTGGGGAGCGGAGCTGCGGTGTTTCACTGCGCTCTTCGCTTTTGCTGCTTCCACAGCACCATGCGGATGTGCTTCCTCTGCACATGACCGCGTTAGAGGCTCTAAAAGTGGCTGCTGCTGCTGCTGCTGCCCGTCGCCCAGCAGCAGCAGCAGCAGCAGAACCGGACGACGCAGCCGATGAGGCGGACCTCGAAGCCACTGCTTTGGCAGCCTTGGGCCGAGTCGGAATTAAAGGGCCCTCCCTGCGGGCGCCTTTGAAGCAGCTAAGTGGGGGGGAAAAAGCGCGGGTAAGCATTTGCCGGGGTTTGCTGCAGACAGGAGATATGGGGGCTTTGCTGCTGGACGAGCCTTCGAATCACCTGGATGCTGCAGCTGCTGCTGCTCTTGCTGCTGCTCTCCGCGCCTTCCCCGGCGCTGTGCTGCTGGCCACCCACGACCCCGCCTTTGCAGCAGCAGCAGCAAACGAGATTGTCGAAATTGACCCTATTAGCAAGACGCTGAGACTGCATTCCGCTGCAGATGTGGCGAGACTCTCTGCTGCTCTTGCTGCTGCTGATCCGCTTGCTGCGGTCGCCACCGCCCCTGCTGCGGCTCTGGCTTCATGGCGAAGGCAGTGGAGCTCCTCGTTCGCTGGTGCATTTGCCAAACACCAATCCTGCAACAGGAACAGCAGCAGCAGCAGCAGCAGCAGCAGCAATGACGTTCGCAAGCGACGGTTTGGCGGCAGCGGGGTTTCGAGCGGGAGAGTGAAGGGCGTAAAAAATGCAAAGAGGTGGCAGTGAGGCAAACTGAAGAGTTTCTCAAGGGGAGCAACTGCATTCAATGAGCCCCTTAAAGAAGACTGTGGATTTCTTTGCAGCTGGGGGGCCCCAGGGCTCTTTTTGGAGGCCTCTTTGTCGCATTTGGGGGCAAACGGCTCGCCCCCTCGGCCCCGCAGGGCCCTCGTGGATAGCTAAGGGCCCTTTAGTGAAATAAGAGGACCACGTGGGCCCTAGCATAAAGGCCTGGGGCTCTCTGGAGCGCTGGGGGCCTCTCAGCCGCAGCCAGGCTTTGGCTGGTCTGGGGACGGAGAGGCTATGAGAGGTAATTGTTTAATTTCCTGGACTGCAACATATTTGGCGAAGACTTTTACTGCAAAGTGTATAACAGTTAAGACGCTATTGTTGCGATTAATGCAGCTAAATCTTTCTCAAAAGCAGCGAAATCAAGTTAGGGTTAAATAGTTGAATTTCCTTCACTGCAACTTATGTGGCGAAGACTTTTACTGCAAGAAGTAGTGCAGTTAAGATGCTTATTCTGGTAATTAATGCAAATAAGTACTACTTCAAAATAACGAGGTGTAATTCTCTACTGCTTGAATAGCCGTAGTTCGGCTCCAGCGTCCCACGCTGAAGGCGCGTGACTGCGTAGGCGAAATGAGCATTACTGGAATTTCCGGGGAATCGCTGCCATTTGCTTTTCCAATTAAAAGTGCAGACAATATAAACTTTGTTTTCAATTTAATTGAAAGTTAACGCGATAAGTTTCCCGCCCAAGCCGTATTCTCGCAAGAGCGGACCATAAAGCCATCACTGGCAGCAGCCGCCATGGCGGGCGCCAGCGCCTGGCCCAGCCCCGAACTACAGGGGGGACCCCGTGAGCAAACCAGCTCTTGGGGCCCCTCCCGAGGGCCCCGCAAGGCCAGGGCCCCCCTGGTGGTGGGCTTGGGTGCCTCTGGGGCGTCGTTCGCAACTGCTGCGGCCTCCCAAGGGGCCCCCAACTGCTGCTAGCCGCGCCGCTCACGCACTGCGTGTGGCCTGCGCACCCGCAGCCTCCAACAGCAACAGCAGCAGCAACAGCAGCAGTGGCAGCAGTCACAGCGGATGGAGATGCAGGCGGAAAGCCACGCACTGCGCGCCGCGTGCGCACTCGCAGCTGCTGACAGCAGCAGCAGCAGAAGCAGCAACCGCAGCAGATGGGGCTGCAGGCGGAAAGCCCGGAGCTCAGGCTCTTTCTGTTCCTGCAGGCGCCTCAGTGTTTTCTTCGAATTGCACCAAAGGACTTTACTTTATTTAAATATTTCTTTTCGGGCTCTCATTCAAACTGACTTTCAAACTTAATGCCACTATCTTCAACGCTCGCTTGCTATCCCATGCTGTGCTTGAGGCCCTCTGCAGCTCTACACGCAACGGCGGAGGCAAGACCCGCTAGAGGGCCCTCGGGGGCCCTCTAGGGGCCTCCTACAGGGCCCTCGGGGCCCTTTCGGGGGGCCCCCGGGGGGCCCAGGGGCCCCCGGGGGGCCTAGGGGGCCCCCAAGGACGCTCTGGAGGGTGGACCCGCTGCTGCTGCTGCAAGGAGGGGCTGCGGAAGAGACAAGAGGCCCTAGAAGGGGGCCCCCTAAGCAGTGGCGCCTGCCACAGGGAAGGGAGTGGAGGGGCCCCTCAACCGAGGCCTTGACTAATGGGGGCCCCTTGAACAATCGGGGGCCCCTTGAACAAATGGGGGCCCCCAACTTGACAGTAAGCTGGGCGACGAGGGCCCCTTAGCTGCACACTTCAGCCAGCAGCAAATGGCGAGGAATGGGTCAAATGGCTTTCTACAGAACAAGAACCCCCAAATAAGTACAGAACGCCTCATACATACAAAGCTCGAAAGCCCTGGGGGCCCTAGGGCCTCCTTGGGGGCCCCTGGGGCCCCCTTAAGGCCCCTGGGGCCTCCTTGGGGGCCCCTGGGGCCCCCTTAAGGGCCCCTGGGGCCTCCTTGGGGCCCCTAGGGCCCCCCCTGGGGGGCCCTGGGGCCTCCCTGGGGGCCCTTGGGGCCTCTTCATATGGAAATCACCGGAGCTGAGCCTAAGGCATGTCCTGTGAAAATGTCGGGCGGTATAATTTGCTGCGACCAGTACACCACGCCCACTGTTCGCCGCAGGTCCTTGCTGCTGCAGCTGCTGCAGCAGCAGCAGCAGCAGCAGCCATCCTCCCGAGCCCCAATGCCGCACACCGCCCCTTTCTGCTGCTGCTGCTGCTGCTGCTGCTGATCCCCAGAGGCTGTGTGAACAACTACATCAAGGCAAGACACTGCGCAGTTGGGAGAGAGGAAATAAGCTGCTTCCTGCTGCGGAAGGTACAGCACGTCAGAGCGGCAGCCGCCCTTTTGCAGCTGCAGCAGCTGCTGCTGCTGCTGCTTCAGGAAGGTGCAGCAGCAAATGCCGGAAGCCGGAGCTGAAACAAAGGCTCGCATGAACATGTCTAGCAGCAGCCCGTGGCCCACCAGCAGCAGCGCGCCATCGCCTCGGAGGGCTGCCGTTGCTGCTGCTGCTGCTGCTGCGTTTGTTCCTGCTGCTGCTGCGTCCGACGCAGCTGCTGGCGCCTTTGCTGCTGCTGCTTCAGCGTCCGCTGCTGCTGCTGCTGCTGCTGCTGCATCAGCACACCCCGAGTGAGCTGTGAAGCTGTCTATCCATTGAGCCAGCAGCAGCAACCGCCTCAAAGTGCCAAAGAAAGTTTCCCGAGGCCCTGACCACCAGGGGCCCCCCCCCTGGAGGCCCCCAGGGCAGTACCCTCCACCGGGGGGCCCCCCAAAAGCTGCTGTTGAGTCGCTGGGGTCGCTGCTGCAGCAGCTGATCTCTCCTGAGCTGCTGCTGCTGTTGTTGCTGCTGCTGCTTGTCGAACCTTGGGCTGCTGCTGCTGGTGCTCCTGCTGCAGCTGCTTCTGAAGGCCAAGACACCCCAGGCGCCAGCACGGCCCCAGGACATATTTCCTGCAGCTGCTCCCACGTGAGCCCCAGCTGCTGCTGCTGCTGCTCCGTTGCAGCAGCAGCAGACATGTCTGCTGCTGCTGCTGCTGCTGACCCTGTTACCTGTCTTTCTCCTTCAAAAAGGCCACCCGCCTCAAAGAGGAGAGGGTGAATTATGACGGGGACATTCAGCTGTTGCTGCAGCTCGCGAGCTGTCTGTACACCCCGCAACATAGGCGACACGACAATCGCTGCAATCCGAGGGTTTGCTGCTCCAGGCTGCTGCGGCTGCTGTTGCTGCTGCTGCTGCTGATGCTGCAGCCAGGCACCAGCAGCAGCAGCCTGCTGCCGTCCGAGGTCCGTCAGAGGCGCATCTGGAGTTCGTACGCTGCTACCTCCGCATTGCTGTTGCAGCTGCGTTTGCTGCTGCTTCTGCAGCAGCTGCTGCTGTTGCTGCAGCTCCGGGATGTCGAGTTTGCTGCGTGAGTTGTTCGATGACTGCGCGTGGCGAAGGAAGTACCATCGGCGCCTTTTCATGGTTCCGTCCATCATTGCTGCTACTGCTGCTGCAGTTGCTGCTGCGGCTGAGACCGTTGCTGCTGGTGGTGCGCAGGGGTCACGTTCAGCCTCTTCAGTGGTCACTGCCGCTGCTGCTGCTGCTGTTGCACTTGTTGTCCAAGTAGCAGGATCTAACACTGTAAATAGCTCATCTACCAGTGTCTGTTTCCGCCTGTTGCCACCAGTGTTTCTGCTGCAGCTGTCGCCGTTCTGCTGTTGCTGTTACTGCTGCTGCTGCTGCCGCTGCTGCTGCCGGGTGTCTGTTGAATTACCGCGACTTCTTGCATCGTTACTGAGACAAACAAATGTACAAAATAATACAAGAATCACCAAAAGCTGCTTTCTTCCCAGAACAGCAGCAGCTCCTCCCCGGAGTGGGTGGCCCCCAGGAGATCCTGCATACGCTACTGCACTGGCTGCTGCGCTGCTGTTGCTGCTGCTGTTGTTGCGTTTCCTGCTGCTGCTGCTTCCGCATCTAATGTTTTTGCTCCCTTTTATCACTTCTTTTCTCCAAAGATTCGCTTGAGCGGCCGTATCTGGCGCTGGCTGCTACGTACCAGCGTAGAGACCACCGTCGCCAACGCCTGCTGCTGCTGCTGCTGCTGCTGCCGTAGCCATTGTTCGCTTATCCTCCTTCCCGCATTCGACTCTTTTCTAGAAGGAAGGACTGCAGTGCAGTAAAGCTTAGTTACTCCTCCACGAGCTGCTGCCTCGCCCGCAGAGGCACCTGTTGCTGCTGCTGCTGCTGCTGCTGCTAGGATTGCTGCTGCCGTCTGCTGCCTTAGAATCTTTCGCAGCCGTTTCTGGACTCCTCTGGGGCTCTTAGCTGCAGCTAAGGAGCAGCGCGGGGCCAGCGGCCTCTGCGGCGGCGCTGCGGCGTTTCGGCCCTCCCTGATTCCTTGCTGAACTCGGGAGCAGTTTAGAATGCCACGAAATAAAATTTTGAAGTAGTGATGAGGAAATTAGAAGGTAAACATGTGCTTATGCACACGCGAATCATGGAGAGGCACGCCTCTAGACCGGATAGAAGAAGAGATGGGCAAGAAAAGGGGGCTGAGAGAAAGACCCAAAAAGATTTAAAAAGAGGAAAAGAAGAACCCGAGCTGCAAAGACAGGCAAAACAGAGTCAATAGGAATTTAGGCAATTATATCTCTAGGTCATTTATCTTTTTTCACTCTTTTTGAGTCTCAGTCTGAAGAGTCTCGGCTGTGGCGCTCGCGGGCGAGCGCCTGCCGTCCGCAGCCAGTACATCTGCAGCAGCTCTCTGAGGAGAAGCCAAAGGCCTATTTGCAAATTTCTAGGGTTTTATTATTGCACTTTATTGGCCCCCAGGGGGTACACAGCAAAGAGTGCATGCAAAGACGCCCGGGCAAACGGGCTTGGCTCAAGATGGCCACAGGCGCAACTTAGTGTAACTGAATAGCCGTAGTTTAGCTGCAGCGTAACAGCAGTTTGACTAATGTGTTAGCTGCAGCGTAACAGCAGTTTGACTAATGTGCAGCCTGGTGCCTTTCCCTTGAGCGGGCCTCCCTGCCGTCTCCCTAGGCTTCACTCAATGGGCTACAAGCACCCGTTTTACCTTCAGTGAGGCTCCTGCTGCTCCCTTGTCCAGAGACCAGACCAGTGGACGAGCCAGTGGTCAGGGAGTTCGCTTCTCTGAAAGTCTTGGGGCTGCCTATTGCCCTAGAGTCAACGCTCTGCTGCGATTTTGTGGCTGCTGCGCTCTGGGGGCTGGTGTCGGTCGCTGCAGGGGCTGAAGATGCGCCAAATACTGCGCGGATTCTTCAATTCCTACAGACTAAATTAGAACCATCTATTGCAGCAGTTTTCAGCGCAGTTTCTTGGGTCACAAGTGCCAAAAGCACGGCAAAAATATATTCATAGCGGGCACCGCGTGTCTATCAATTTGGCGAAGGACAAGAGGCTCTTTCGCAGTCCTCCAGTCTCAACTTGGAAGCTTTTTAAATCTGGCTGGATACTAAAAGATGCAGCTTAAATCTGGGGATAGGCAAGTTCCCTGATTTGTGCGATGCTAGTGCGACTTTTGCCACTCTTGCAAATCATCTTGCGCGCCGCAGGCGCCGAGAAACTCGGCTCTGCTTAGCGACTACGAAATCAAAAAACAAAATAAAGAAAGAGAAGCGCCAAATATTTTGAAGAATAAGTAAAACGAAAGCTTATATTTTAAAGAGAGCATTCAAGTGGGGAGACCCGGCGGCGAGCGTCTTGAGGTTCTTGAAGCACTAGAAGCTCGCCAAATGCAACCCAAAACAACGTCTTTGTTTTTAAAGAGAGCTTTATATCTCATATTTTGTCGTTCTGGAAACTTGTTTTACGTTTGCAGTTTGTTTATTTCAGGTAATCGCATTTGCACACCTGCCGCAGCTCGAAAACGACACACACCCGAGCCGCTCCGATGCTCACTTCTTTCGGCTCTTCCTTTGCAGAAGCTCTTCCCTTGTTTTAGCAAAGTTATATTAACTCTGTGCTTTTAATTTATGCTGGATTATGGATTCCAAGACTTATATGGGATTCAGCTTGAAGCGAGGCCATAAAGTGGTACTGGCAGTGGAAGGAATTTGCATCGTCACTGGTGTGGAGCGCTGTAGTACCTATATGAAACGGCCTTTTAAGGCTTTAGACTCCAAATAAGAACATTTAATTTGTAAATACAAGTAAATAAAGAGAAACTCAGATTTACTGAAGACCAAGCTAAGCCTGCACAGCGGGCTGAGGTCACTGCGGTCACCAGCTGCAGCAGAAGAGGATACAGGGAAAGAGACAGTCCGTGCAGAATTGCAGTCACACAGGTTTTAATTTAATTATATTTTGCACAGCATTTAACATTCAGGGGTCTTGGCAAGACAACATCCGTGAGTAAGCAAGCGAGCAGAGCCGCAGGGTTCCTCACAATATTCGGTTATCTTCTGAGCGTCAGAATGGACTCATGAGCTGTCCCTCGAATACAAATTAAATTTCTTTTAACTTGACCTTAACAACGAATTAAGTGGAAATTAAAGGGGGTGGTTGTTTTCGAAGCTGCCGATCGGCAAAGCATGCTACGCATAAGGGTAATTCAGTTAAAACGAGATTCAAATGCGCTAATTTCCCGCTTCACTAAGTGCCTCTTTCGGGGCCTAGTGGCCACCCCAGTGTTCGAAAGACAGCAAATGCTGCACTCTAGAGGCTCAGCCCCGGGAGGCGAAGAGAAAATCTTGCAGACAAGAAAAAAGTGAATGGCCGGGCTGGATGTGGCGCTCACACGTCCCGTTGCTGCTGCCGCTGCTGATACTCCTTCTGCTTCTGGTGCTGCTGCTGCAGCAGGTGCTCCAGCGTAGCCTTGATGGGCCCTGCAGCACCCAGTCGCTCTGCTGCGGCTACCGGAGCCTGCAGCTCTGCTGCTGTCACCTCAGGAGGGCCTGACGGGGCCACCTTTTGCTGCAGCAGCAGACGCTGGTGGAGCAGAAGCAGCAGCAACTTTCCTGCCTCTCTGTGCCCATTACTTTCATGTCCTGAGATGCCAGCAGCCCAAAATGCGCACAAGAACGGGTGGGTATCTCTCGGCAGTAAGCCAGAGGCAGCAAAAGAACGGCAGTGGAACTGCAGCAAACGCAACAGCTGCAGCAGCGGCAGCAGCACAACTAAAGGCAAAAATGCCTCAGATTTGTAATTCACCTTTGGCTGCGGAAAACTGGAGCCACAAAGACAAAGTGAGACAAAGCTGAGACGCCCGAAGGCGACCAGCTGTGTGCTGGGCGAACAGCACAAGCAGCTGATTCCCAGGCGGCCAGTCGGCAGCAGCAGCAGCAGCTGCCACTGCAGCAGAACTCGTCGAAGTGGCGGCAATAGCTGTAGCTACTGCAGTAGCAGTTGGAAAGAGTGCAGCAGCAGCAGGAGCAGGAAGGTTAGTGTCACAAGCCCTCGGTTCACAGGCCTCCAACAGCAGCGCAAGCTGAACAAGAGCCAGCAAAAGCACCAGCACCCCAGCTTTCCCCTCAAAGTGGGGTTTTCTGTGGTTTAGAGCTTCAGAATTGGGGTTTAGGGTTTAGGGTTTAGGGTTTGCTGTTGTGGGGACCCCTGGCTCGCACCGTTTGCAGGCCTTCGCGCAGATCACGGACTGCCGCTGCATGCAGCTCTTCCGGGCGTTGGAGGGGCTTTCCTGCTGCGCTGCCATTATGGCATGCTGCTGCAGCTCCTGTTTCTGCCGTTGCTGCTGTTGCTGTTCTTGCTGCTGCCGAGACTCGAGACTGACCTGGGAAAGAGAAGGCGCGTATTAGGCTGCCAAACCCTAGGACTGCACTGACGACCTCAGCAGCAACAGCGGCAGCCCCAGAAGCAGCAGCAGCAGTCGAAGGCGTTTGGGCGCTGCTGCTACAGTCCACCTGGTGTAGCTTTGCTGCTGCTGTATGCGCTTCATCTTTAAGGTGCAGCAAAAGAGATTGCCCACATTGCAGCACAACAGCAGCAAGCTGGAGATGTGCCTCGCTTCCTGGGACGCCTGAGTGTAGCAGCGAGTGTTCCCGAAGCTGCTTTTGCTGTCGCTGCTCTTGCTGTTGCTGTTGCTGCTGTTGCTGCTCTTGCTGCTGCTGTGCAGCAACACGCCTGGCAGCAGAAGCAGCTCGCATGAACAAGGAAGCGTCCGTTGGAACGCATCTGCTTAAGTAGCTGCATAGCATATCGACAAGTTGCTGCTGCTGTTGCTGTTGCTGTTGTTGCTCCTGCTGCTCTGTGTTGACCATGCCGTTGCCTTGGTTCAGCAGCAGCAAATTCTGTTGCTGCTTGAGGCGGCACGATCCTACTAGCAGCGCCAAGCCAATATCAGCCATTTGCTGCTCCAACTCAGTGCTGTTGCTGCTGTTTTTCTTGCTGCTGCTGCTGCTGTCACTGGTCGGGTTTCTGAGAGTTCCTAGGCGCATGTAGGCTCTCCGAGTTACGCCCAGAAATCTCCAGGCGAGGTCGCCGAGGGCTCCAGCTTTAATTTGATGCGAAGGTGCAGCTGGAAAGGGCTGAAGCTCTTCTGGTGCAGCAACAGCAGCAACAGCAGCAGCAGCGGCAGTGACAGCAGCACCAGGCTCCGCAAGCTTTCCCTGTAGGGCTGCAGCCGCAGTCCCGGTGCAGCGCTCAAGAGCAGCAGCTACGGCTGCAGGCGCAGTGGGTAGCTGCTGCTGCTGCAGTGCAGCTGCCAGGATCCGCAGGTGCTGCGGCTCTAGCAGCGCCTGCTGCAGCTCCAGCCACGTCAAAGACACCTGAAGAGACGCAGCAGCCAGCAGCAGCTTCACCCGCCTGCAGCGCGATTTCTGTCTGCAGATTATAGCTGCTGCTGCTGCTGCAATATAGGGCAGCACAGACTGAGTCAAGGAAACAGCAGCAACAGCAGTAGCAGCAACAACAGCAGCAGACCTCAAGCAGGTTCGTAGTGTGGGGCCCCCAGGCCCTTGATGCAGAAATGCCTGTTGCTCTGAGCAGCGAAGACACAAGCAGGGAGACCTCTCGAAGAGACAGTGCCTGACCAAGCCCAGCAGCAGCAGCAGCAGCAGCAGCAGCAGCAGCAGTAAGACTTCCGGTCGCCGACGCTGCGGAGCCGAAGTCGCTGCAGCTGCTGCAGCGCGACTCTTTGCTTCTCAGAAGCTGCTGCAGCAGCTCTCCAGAGAGGGCCTCAAGTGCCATTTTGAAGATTGCTGCAGTGGGTGCAGCAAAGTGACTGGCCGATTTCTCTGTTGTTGCGCTTTCCCCACTGCTGTTGCTGCTGCTCCTGCTGCTGCTCCTGCTGCTCATGCTAGGCAGCGCGAAACCGTCGTCCTCCAGGGCCTCTCCCCCATAAATCTCAGCAGCCCTCTCAGCAGCTAAAGAGAGGCTTGCGTTGCTGCTGCTGCTGCTGCCACAGTAAGTAAAGGGAACAAAAGCAGCTTCTGCTTGGCTTAAATGTGCTGCTGTTGCTGCTGCTGCTGCGGCGGCGCATTTTGCTAGGACTCCCGCAGCAGTCACAAGGCGAGAAGGGCTGAAGCAGCTCCAGGCCTCAGGACGCAGCAAACACTGCAGCAGCAGGGCGCAGCACAGAAGCAAAAGCAGCAGCTGCAGCAACTGCACATGCGTAGAGCATTGTCAACAGCCGCAGCAACGCATGCTGCAGCAGCCATACCAGCACCAGCAGCAAACTATGCTCTGTTCTTGCACAGCCTCGTACCTCTGCAGCAGCAGCTGACACTGCTGCAGCATGAGCCTGCAGTGTGCAGCAGCCCCCACAAGCAGAAGTAGTTAGAAACCCCGATGTGCACTTCAGCACGGAAAGAGCAGCAGCAGCAGTAGTAGCAGCAGCAGCATCAGTAGTAGCAGCAGCAGCAGGCTCTCTCGAAAGCCGCTGCTGCTGCTCAATTCCGTAGGGAATAAGCTGTAGGCTTTCTCGTCTCTGCTGCTGGTGCTGCTTCTCGCGTTGCAGCAGCTGCTGTTGCAGCTGCAGACAAAAGCTGGACCTGCTCAGCATGAGGCCTGCAAGCGGCAGTGCCTCCAACGATGCAGGCAGTGCTGCTGCTGCTGCAGCAGCACTGGCCTCAGCAGCAGCAGCAGCGGTGCTTGCTGCTAGCGAGTCAACGCGCTGTAGCAGCGGCAGCAGCCGCGCTGTCTGCTGCAGAGATAGCTCCGGAGCAGCAGCAGCCAGCTGCAGCACCAGCTTTTCTAAAAGAGGTCTCAAGCTTTGCAGGCAGCGTCGCTTCAGCGAGAGCGCTGCTGCTGCTGCTGTTGCTGCTGCTGCTTGCGTGTCTCCCCCTGCAGCTGCTAAGCTCATTGCGTGTTCTGTCACCCCTGCAGGTACAGTTGCTGCTGTTGCTGCTGTCGCTGCTGCTGCTGCTGTAGCATCAACCCGCTGCTGCAGCCTCTTGGCCTGCTTTTGCTGCAGCGACGAGCCTAGTGTGTAGGCCTGCAGCAGCTGCTCCTGCGGCAGCCTCTGCAGCAGCAAAAGCAGCTGGCAGGCAGACCGCAGCAGCAGCAAAGCTTCTTGTGGGGCTAAGGAGGGCAGCAGCAGCAGCAACTCACTGCTGAGGCAGCCGCACAGGGGCGCCAGAGCACGCGACAGCAGCCGGGCAAGCGACGGCTTCGCTCTGATTTTGCCCGCCGCAGCAGCTGCAGCAGCAGCAGCAGCAGCAGTGGTTGCTGCTTCTGCTGCTGCTGATCCGGACGCTGCTTTTCTGGCATCGGCTGCTTCACTCACTGCCGTTCCCGGTGCTGCGGCGTCGAATGCTGCTGCCAACGGCACTGCTGTTGCTGCTGCTGCTTCCAACATGGCTGCTGCTGCAGTCGGCTGCGCTGTGTTTGCTGCTTCTGCTGCTGCTGCTGCTGCTGCTGTTTCTATAGCATCAACGCAGGCGACAAACAAGCGACTGAGCTGACGGCAACGGGCATGCCCATCTTCCCCAGGCAGCTGCTGCTGCTCCTGCTGCTGCTGCTGCTGCTCTTGCCGCTGCTGCTGCTGCAGTGCCCGGACCAGGTAGGTGGAGGCGAGGTGCATGTACACCTCAAGGTCCACAAGGCCAACCCGAGTGAAGGCTCGCAGCAGCAGTGCAACCTCGCTAGCCCTCAGAATCAGTACATGCCGCTGCTGCTGCTGCTGCTGCTGCTGTGGTTGTGTCTGCTGCTGCTGCTGTGGTTGTGTCTGCTGCTGCTGCTGTGGTTGTGTCTGCTGCTGTGTCTGCTGATGCCGCAGGAGGCGGCGCTGCTGCGCGTCAAGGCGGAAAAGACGAGTGAGCTTCCATGCGGCCCTCCTAAACACACTCTGAACTGCAGCAGAAGCGGCAGCAGCAGCAGCAGCATCTGCCGCTGTTGCTGCTGCCTCCCGTTGCTGCTGCAGAGCCACAAAGGACGCTGCAAAAATGTCTAGCAACACTGCCAGCTGGCTTGGTGACAGCAGGAGATCCTGCTGCTGCTGGAAAGCTGCAGCAGCAGCAGCGGTGAAGTCGCTGCAGTGGATGCCCACAGACTGCAGCTGCTGCAGCAGCTGCAGCAGCAGCGTCTGCTGCTGGTGCTGTTGCTGCCGTTGCTGCTGTCGCTGCTGCAGTTGACAGCTAGGGAGCACAACCTGGGCCTCAGTTCTCAGCTGCTGCTCCTTCTGCGTTGCCGAGTGGGGCTCTTGCTGCTGCTGTAGCTGCTGCTGCTGCTGCTGTAACCGCTTCAGCTGCAACTGCCTCTTCTGCTGCTGCTGTTGCTGCAGCAACCTCAGAGCAAGCAGCAGCACCTGCTTCACGAACCGCTGCAGTTGCTGCACAGCAGTAGCGGGTGTCTGGGCACGGCGGGCGTCTTGGAGGCCACGCTGCACTGCAGCACAGGCTGCTGCTGCTGGTACTCTTGTTGCTGCTGCTGCTGCTCCTATTGTTGCTGCTGCTGATGCTGCGATTTCAGCCGGTTCTCTTGCTGAGGGTCTGTCGGCTGCTGCTGCCGATATGCTTGATGCTGCTGCTTCAGGAGTGTGCCCACCCGCTGCTGCTAGTGCTGCTGCTCCTCGTTCTGCTGCTGCTGCTGCTGCTGGATCTGCTGCTGCAGCTGCTGCTGGGGGTCGATGCCCTGCCCCCTGCAGCAGAAGGGGCTGCTGCAGCAGCAGGGGCCTGTAGGGGCGAACCAAACGAGCAACGCTCTGAAGCAGCAGCACCAGATCCTTCAGCTGCACCTGCAGGGGCTGCTGCTGTCTGTGCTGCAGCAACTGCTGCTGCAGCAGCTGCTGCGGCGCCTTAAGCAGCAGCTGCAACTCTTTTGGACTGATAGGTCTGCTGCTGCTCCTGCTGCAGTGAAGCCTTTCTGCTTCCTGCAGCAGCAGCAGCTGCTGCTCGAATTCTGAACGCTGCGGCAAAGCATGAGCTGCACGTTCTGAAGCAGTTGCTGCTGCTGTAGCGTTGGCTGCTGCTGCTGCTGTTGCTGCTGCTACTGCTGCGTGTGCGTCACCATGTGGGCTTCTCGAGGTCCCTGCACCAAAACACTCCACTTCTTTTGCTGCACCTAACTGCCTTTGCTGCTGCTCCTTGTTGTTTCCGATTCTGCTGCCGCTGCCGCTGCCTTCGCTGCTGCTGCTGCTGCTCCAGCTTCTGCTGCTGCTGCTGCTGTGCCCTAGGTGGCTTCGTGGCTGCAGGGCTATGCCCCATAATGAAAAGGCCCCAACTAGAGGCCTCTCTAGCAGCGGGCCCCGTAGGCGGGGGGCGCTGCTTGAGAGCGCCTGCTGCAGGGAGGCGAAGCTCATATGTAAACCGCAGCAGCAGCAGCTGCTGCTGCTTCTGCTGCTGCTGCTGGCCCTGGTTCTGCTGTCACCGATGTTTCAGGGGTTAGCTGTGCTGCAGCTGATGGTCGTAGTGGTTACGGGGGGCCCCTGGGGGCCCCCACCTCACAACAGCAGCGCACAGAGTGGCCGCCTGCAGTGCTTCTATTACTCCTGATATCCAGAAAAATCAATTAGAATTAAAAATAATGTACAAAATAACACACAAAGGGTCTGTGTGAGTCCAAGTTTCCCTCAGACACCTCTGCATGGGGGCCCCTCTCGATGCTGCTGAGGTCCTCTGTGCGGACCCCCGCCTCGAAGTGCAAACGTACTTGACTTTCCCTCATTTCGCAACTGAAAAATAATATAAAGGGAAAAAAATAATTAGGAGGTCTTTTGTGTGGGTCTTAAGGGCGGAGGAGCTCCCATTGCTGCAAAGGAGCAGGTGCTCACCTTAGCAAAAGCTAAGCAGCTGCAGCAGGAGTTGTGCTCGCTGCAGCTGCAGCAGGAGTTATGCTAGCAGCAGCAGCAGTAGGTGTTGTGCCAGCAGCAGCAGCAGCAGGCTTTGTGCTAGCAGCAACGACAGCAACAGCAGCAGCAGCAGCAGCGTCACAGCTGCCGTTAGAGGTAGAGTTTAGAGCAAGAGTTCCTCATTGCTGCTTGAAGCTGCTGAAGCTGCTGCTGCTTCCACAAGGAAGCTTTGCTGCGCTTTCAGGCAGCAAAACAGGCCCCCAGCTGCTGCTGGCTGCTGACTAGGCCTGCTGCCTGAGCTGCAGAAGTGCAGCGGTGGTTAGCTCCCGTAGCGGTTTCTAAACCCTAAACCCTAAATTCTAAACCCTAAACCCTCAAGTCTAAGCCCTGAAGGCGAGGTTCAGGTCCCTGTGCATGCGCTAAAAGTGCCTGCGAGGTCTTCTCACTGCAGCGGCGCTGGGGGTGCTGCTGCTGCTCAGAGGCCCAAAGCAGCAGCAGCCCCAAGAGCAGCAACAGCAACAACAACAACAACAACAGCAGCAGCAGCAGCAACAACAACAACAGCAGCAGCAGCAGCAACAGCTCAGCAGCATTGTTTTTCCCGGTGGCTTTTTGCCGACGACTGAAATGCTTCAGGCTGACACAATGTGATGTCTCAGGGGCCCTAAAACCCTTGAAAATAAGCAAGAACTCGGCAGTTTAGCATTTAGGATTTATCCTCTAGGGTTTAGGGTTTAGCTAGGGTTTAGCTAGGGTTTAGCGAGGGTTTAGCTAGGGTTTAGGCAGGGTTTGGGGTTTGCGAGCAACCTGTCTAGGCGAAGCCCTAAACCCCGCAGGGAGCTTTAAAGCCCCCTGTAGGCTCTGCAGGTCCACGGCAAGCCGAAGCTGCTAAACCCTAAACCCTAAACCCTAGGGCTGTTATCTACTGCTGCCTCCAGAGCTGCGAAAAAAAGGCAAAAACCCTAGGGTTTAGGGTTTTGGCAGTTCAGGAAATGCCACGGGGGCCAAGCTGGCGCTACTCTCTGTTTCCCCCACAATGCCTCTGGCAGCAGCTTAGCTAGGCAGCAGTTTAGCTGCGTTGCTGCTGCTGCTGCTGCGGCCTTGGGCTTGGTGGCTAGCTGCCTGGCTAGCCAGCCAGGCCTGGGGAGCAGGGGGCTAGCTAGCTAGCGGGGAAGCCTCAGCAACCGCTTGGCTAGCCAGTGTGTAGATCTTGGTTAGCTGGGATCTGTGGGGCCCTGCGCGCCCCCAGCAAGAAGACCCATAAGGCTCCGCAGCACTCAGTCTGTAGCTTGCTGCAGGGCCCTGCTGCAGCTCCAAGGCCGTCTGGCCCACTTCAAAGGGCAGTTTCGGGGTTGCTGCCTTTGGTTGCGCAGCAGCTGCTGCAGCAGCAGCTGCGAAGTTGCTGCAGTAGAGTTTATTTCACGGCCCAGGCGCGCGCGAACCCGCTTATTCTGCTGCTCCCTCAGCAGTCTGCAGCTGATTTAAGACTTCAAAAAGAGCCACTGACTCCGCCACAGGCAGCCGGTGCGCCTTTTCCGCCACATTTAGTGCTTAGCTCCAGTGTTTAACTTCTCAGGTGGCCCCAGCCCCCCGCCAGACCCACCTGCCGACGCTCTTGCTGCTGCTGCCAGCAGCAGTTAGACACGGCCGCCCCGTAATTTGCTGCAGCCACTGCAGCAAACTCCTACAGCAATTCTATGCCTATTATTAAGCTGGCTTTCTTTGGGGCATCTTTTGGTCGTCATTGCATGCACGCAGGGGCTGAGCGGGCTGCTGCTGGACCATTGGTGCGGCTGTGGGCAGCCACCGGACCGTTGCTCCGTGTCTTCGCGCCATTCGCCTTGAAAGCAACTCAGAAGTAATTAAAAGTCCTCAGTTAGTGCCAAACCAAAACTGCGTTCGATGGGGGGGCTGCAGCTGCAGTAGCACCATTTGCAGCCGGAGTAGGAAAAGGCTGCTGTTGTTGGTGCCGTTGCTGCGTGCGTTGCTGCATTTTCTCCGCGTCTGCATGTTTGCACAGGCTGTGGGCTTCTTAAAGGATGTGCAGACATTAAATTGAAACTGAAATTTAATGTCAAAACGCGACAGACAGAGCAGAGCAGCGGCCCCGTTGTGGGGTCACTTCGGGGGAACGTCGCCAGGAGGCTGGGCGCTGCGGGCGAGTGTGCGTGGGTCGATTTTCGCTTCTGAGTTTCTCTTTTGACTTCATTAGTCGATAGAAAGTCAGAAAGCACCATTTTGTTGGTTTCGGGGCAATGGACTCGGCTGCGGGGGACGCTGGGGCAGCCCGAGCAGCGCGGGGAGCAGCAGCAGGAGCAGCAGCGGCGCCAGACGCGCATCAGGGACCCTTCCAGCGGCTTCTAGGTTTCCTGTCGAAGGACCTGAAGGCGTCGTTGGCGCTGGAGGATTCGGGAGAGCCTCCCGCGTGCGCTCCGCCTGCGCCCGCGCGCCCGGGCGCCGCAGCAGCAGCAGCAGCAGCAGCAGCAGCAGGAGCAGGAGCCCCCGGAGGCGCAGCAGCAGCGGGGGGCGGCGGGGCGGGGGAGGCGTGCGTGGACTGGGGCTCGCTGTGCAGGCACTTGGCCGAAGACGCGTTTGCAGCGTGCTGCGCGTCGCTGAGCATGTCACCACTGGTCATGCTGGTGGACCGGGCCATTGTGGCGAGCACCACGGGGGGCGGGGCGCTGTCTGCGTGCCTGCGGCGGGGCCTGTCTGCTGCTGCGCGCCGCCCGCTCGCGCTGCTGCGCAGCCAGGGCTTTCAAGTGGTCTTTGGGGTCTACGCGGGGACTTACATGGCGGCCAACGCCGCAGAAACCATCAGCAGCGCAGTGGGCAGCACGGCTTCTTTGCCCAAGCTGGCCTGCGCCACTCTCTCCAACATTTTCCTCTGTGTCCGCAAAGACATCATCTTTGCCAAGCTCTACGGGGCCCCCGAGGGGCCCCTGGGGGCCTCCCGAAGAGCCGTGCCTGCTGCTTCCGTGGCTCTTTTCTTAGCCCGAGACGGGCTCACGATTGCTTCCGCGTTCACAGTGCCCCCCCTGATTGCTGCCTCTCTCGAGTCCTGGGCCCAAGAAGCAAAGGGCCACGCGCAGCAGGACCCCCCGCAGCAGCAGCAGGACCAGCAGCAGCAGCAGGACCAGCAGCAGCAGCAGCAGCAGCAGGAGCCCGCGGCGGCGGGGGAGCCCTGCAGCCGCCGCGGCGCTGCGCGGGGCGAGCTGCAGGGGGGGCTGCTGCAGCCGCTGCTGCTGTGGCGGCCGCAGCTGGCGCTGACTGCAGCACAAGTCTTGTCCCCAGTGTCTGTACAGCTGCTGTCCACGCCGCTGCACCTCCTTTCCCTCGACATTTACCACCGCCCCAAAGCCCCCGCCTGGGATCGTCTCAAAGTCGTATCCAGCACTTACGGGCCCGCAGTGGTGGCCAGAGCTGCCCGCATAATCCCCGCCTTCGGCGGCGGCACTCTCATTAATGGCCGCATCCGCAGCTGCCTCGCGGGGCCCGAGGCTGCCGAGTGCTCCTCCCCCGAGGCCCCCCTCTAGCTGCTGCTGCTGCTGCTGCTGCTGCTGCGGCTGTTCGGCCCGGCGCAGCAGCGGGTCGCGGAAACGCCGCGGAAGCAGCAGCCCGGCTCGCTGCTGCTGCAGCAGCCAACAGGCGCAGCAAAGGGGGCTGGCTTTCTTCGGGGGGCCCAGAGGGACCTGCATGCACTGGGGGGCCCCCAGGGGGGCCCTGGAACCAGGTGCCAGAGCCGTTGTGAGGCTCTTGACCGACTTAGGGGCCCCCAGGGGACCCGTGGGACAGTGGGGGCCCCTGGGAGCCTTTTGGGGCCCCTTGGGACTACGGGGGCCCCTTGGGACTAGGGGGCCCCTGGGGGCCTTTTGGGGCCCCTTGGGACTACGAGGGCCCCTTGGAACTGGGGGGCCCCTGGGGGCCCCAAAGGGCCCCCAGACCCCTCAGGTCGCCCCGCAAAACCGGGGAGAAATGCAGCAACTTGAGGGGTCCCCGCAAGAGCGGAGGCCCCCAAAGGAACTACAGGTGCTGCAAGGGGGCCCACAGGGGCCCCCCAAGGCTGAAGATCTGCAAAGAATTTTGGACTCAGCCATAAGCAGGAGAAGGGGGCCCTTGGAAGCTGGGGGCCCCGGGGCCCCCGGCAATAAGGCCCGCAAGGGGAATGGTGTAGGCAGCAGGCTAAGGCCCCCGCGGGCCTTGGCTGCTGACCAGCCTTGATGATGAGCAGCAACGAAGGATTTTGCTGCTGCTGCAGTGGGCCCCACAGGGGCCCCAGAAAGGCTCGAAAGAGCTGCTTGCACTTTAGTTTTACTTTTCTCGAAAGTGGGACCCTCAGAGCTTGCAAAGGCCCCATAGGGTGAGGGCCCCTTGCTGTCGGGGGGCCCCCTTGCTGGTAAGGGGCCCCCGTGCTGGTGAGACCCCCCGTGCTGTGGGGGCCCCCCTGGTGAAGGGGGCCCCCCTTGCGGGCTCTGGGGACACTGGCAGGTAGTGGGGGCCCCTTAGCCCCGAACGGCTTCTTACTTTTCGCCGCGCAGCTGTAGGAGCCGCATGGGCCTGCAGCTTAGCTCTAGATAACTGCAGCGTCTCCCGCTGCAGCGAAAATAACCAGCGTGCTGCCTGCTGCTGCTGCTGCTGCAGCAGCAGCACGGTAGAGAGCGGAAGCATCAAAAACGCGAAGTTAGGGACTTTTGCAGAGGAAAGGGGGGGCAGGGGGGCTGGTAGTGAACAAATCTAGAGGCCCAGAACGCCTGGAAATGCTGAGCAGGGGCCCCCTGAGGGCCCCCTGGGAGGCTTTTGCTGCTGTGGCTTCTTCGCATCTACGCTGATAGGCAGCAGCAGCAGGTCGTTTAGGGCTGGGGTTTAGGGTTTGGGGTTTAGCAGCAACAGCAAATGCTCCTGCCTCCTGGAGAGTGGCCTGCACCTGAGGGGCTTCACTTTGCTTTGTGGACTTGGAGTTGCGCAGCAGCTGCAGCAGCAGCAAAGAGCAGCGGTGTCAGTTGCTGCTGCAGGTGCACTCAAACGCTCTCCCGCTGCTCTCTAGTGCTGCTGCCTCCCACTGCAGCTCCCCAGCCGCTCAGCCCCACACAAAAGGCAGCAGCAAATTAACTGCGCATGCAGCTGCATGTGCATGCAGCTGCATGCGCATGCAGCTGCATGCGCATGCAGCTGCGCTTCTGATTTTCTGCCATTTTGCAGACGGGCTGCGTGCCCTACAGAGAGAAGAGCTGCCCCGAAAAGGAAATACTAGTTATTACTAGTCGCATTCTTGTGAGCTCCTGGAGTGAAGATGTGAAGAAGTAGGAGCCAACGAAAGAGAATAAAATAAGGCTGTGGCAGCGGCCTTAAGTGCTCAAGACGCGCTCAAAGTGCAGAACTAAAGACGCAGTTGTCTGGCCTCCGGGCCAACAAGAAGACACAGAAGAATCCGCAGCTCCGTAGCTGCCACTTTGCTTCCAGCAGCGCCCCCAGCAGCAGCTACTGGGAAAAACCAGAGGCCCGGGGGGCGCCGCGGAGGCCTAGCAGCTCTACTGCCGCAGCACAAACGGGGCTGCGAACGGCTCGCCAGCCAGAGAGCCAGCTGGCTAGCTAGCTGGGCAGCTAGCTGCGTAGCTAGCTGAGTGGCTTGCTGGCTAAGTAGCTGGCGAGCTAGCTAGCTGGGTAGCTAGCTGTCATTGGCAGCTGGCTATGCCGGGGCAGCTGCATCTTCGAGAATGCGTCTGAGTTTCTTGGTTTGCTTCGGGGTGAAGGCCTTGGCTAGCTGCTCGAGGGGCGCGGGCTCGCCAGAGGCATTCACCTTTTCAAAAAGAGCTACTGTTTCCTTATCCAGATCCCCATCGGCAAACGCCGTCTTATAAACCCCAGCCAGCACCCCCAGCGCGTGGCCCACGCGGGACAGCTCCGCGCTGAAGAAGCCGTTGCGGTCCTGCACAGCAAAGAGCTCAACAACGGCCAGCTCTCAGCTAGCTAGCTAGCTGGCTAGCTGGCTAGCTAGCTAGCTAGCCGTGCAGCTGCGCTGCAGCGCAGCAGTTTCGTGAGGTGCTCGTCTGGGGCACTCGCACGAGTCCGGTGAAAATCAGTGCAGCGAGAGAGCAGCACTTTCCAAAGACCCCGCAAGGCTGCCCGCAGCAGCAGCAGCAGCAGCGGCAGCAGCAGCAGCGGGACTTCGTACCCTCTTGAGTGCTTCAAGAAGCTGCTTGTGCACGCGGAGGCCTTCTGTTGCGTCTTGCTTAAGAGGCAGCGAACTCAACCAAGTTGCTGTCAGGCGTTCTGTGTCTGCCCCAAGAGCTGCTGCCTGGTACTCCACGAGGTCCCCAAGGGCGGCGACGGCATTGTCCACTGCTGCCTGCAGCAGCAGCAGCAACAGCAGCAGAAGCAGAAGCAGCACCACCAGTAGGAGACGCGCGGGCAGCAGGGGCACCTCGCATGCAGCAGCCAATGGCCACTCTCTCCTGCTGCGTAGCTGCAGCAACTTTCCTCTGCTGCACGCGCCATGCGTGCCAGCAGCAGCAGCAGCAGCAGCAGTGCATGCAGCAGCCGCTTACAGTGCATGTTTTTCCGCGTTTGCCCTTGCCCTTGTCGATGACTAGCAGCAGATTCCTCGCTGCAGCAGCAGCAAAGCCAGCAAAGCCCTCAACCTTTGCTGCTTGCTGCACCCCGTAGGCAGCAGCCTGAACGACCCGCTGGTCTTCACTCAGAAGACACTCCAGCAGCTGCGGCAGAAACCGCGGCCAGAGCCCAATGGACCCCTCCTGCGCAGCCACAGACCCCCGCACTCAAAACCCTAAACCCTAAACCCTAAAACCCTAAACCCTAATTCGGAAGATCAAAGTGCACTGCTCCTTAGGGGCCCCCAAAAGCCACACGGAGGACCCGAGGGGGCCCCTTGGGGGCCTCCAAAATGCTGCAGATGCCGTTATAAAGACCCCTGTAGGCTGAATGATACAATTAGCTAAATCTCCCACAAGACAGCAAATGGCTTTAAAACTGACTTCTAAAAAAGGCTTAAATATCCTTATCAAGGCCCCCCAAAAGGCATAAAGTGCCACAACACTATCTAAGGCTCTAAATGCCTTTAATGAGGGCCTCTAAAGGGCTTTAAGGCCCTAAAAGAGTACCTTGAGGTGCTGCAGAATGTCGCAGCAAACAAACAGCCCCACAGCCTTGTCGTCGTTGCATGCGTTGGGCCCCAAAAGACCCTCAGCAAAACCCAAAGCCGACTCTATTGCGGGGCCCCCCAGGAACTCCGCAGGGTGGCTCCGCATAAGCGACCCCACCAACTCCACCAGCGACGAGCTCAAGTTCCTCTCCTGCAGCAGCAGCAGCAGCAGCAGCAGCAAGAGCAGCAGGTGCACCAGTGGCAGATGCTGCAGACGCGGCAGCATGCGGCAGCGTCGTGTTCGTGGCTCGATGGCAGCTGGAGGTGTCAAACCCGTACACAGACCATCACCAGCAGCAGCAACACAAGCAGCAGCAGCAGCAGCAGCAGCAGCAGCAGCAGCAGCAGCAGCAACCCCACAGTCTCCTCGTCCTCGACTTCGTCGGATAGTTCTTCGTCTTCGGTCTCTGCCTCCGCCTGCCGCGAAGCTGCCAGTTGCTGCCTCCTCTCGCCGCTCTTGCGCAGCAGCTCCATCGCCTTGTTCACCTCCTCAGCGACCTACAGCAACATAGAAGCACTGCACACCCTGCTGCTGCTGCTGCTGCTGCTGCTGCGCAGGCGAGAAAGAGGCAAAGACGCAGCAGCTAGACTGCAGCAAGGAGCAGAGAAAGAAGACTCCGGCCACGCGTGTAGAAGGGAGGAAAGGCAAACGGGGAATCCACATACACAGAAATGAGGCAAAGACAGCAGCAGCAGCAGCACCAACAACAGCAGCAGCAGCCGGATTCGCTGTGAAGAGAGCTGGAGCAGAGGGGCACAAAAGTGACCAGTGGTGCACAGCAGCAGCAGCAGCAGCAGGGGGTCTTCTGCTGACCTCCAGAGGGCTGAGGATGCCGCCTGCTGCTGCGTCAATGCAGCGGGAAAGAGCAGCAACTTGGGTTTGTGCTGCTTCTGCGTCAGTGTCTGCGTCTGCAAGGGAAGCAAAAACGTCTCGAAGAGTTTCCAGCAGCAGCTGGCGCCTGATGCTGCTGTGCTGCGGGCACAGGGCCAGGACCTCCAGCAGCGAAGCAGTTGCTTCCAGGGCCCTTTCCTTGACCGCCTCCGAAAGCATGTGGCCCAGCAGTGGACCAATGGTCTGCGCGGTCTGCAGCAGCAGCCCCCGCACCTCCTCCGCCGTCTCTGGCACTGCAGCAGCAGCAGCTAACGGCTGCGCCAGCACTGACAGCACCGTCTGCAGCAGCTCCAAAGCCCGCTCTTGTTCCTCCAGCAGCGAAGTCCGCAGCCCCACACTTTTTGTCTCATCAAGCACCACATAAGTCATGTCCTGAAAAGCGTCAAAGTACATTTTTGAATCCATTTCAGCGCATTTAAATGCATCTAAACACTCAAATATAAATTCAATCACAAAGAGGCAAATTGCACTCCATAAAGCCGAAAAACAAGAGGCTTTCTGCTGCCCTCGCTGCTGCCTTTGTTCAAATCCGTATGTGCTTGAATGAATACGCACAAACAAATGTGAAAGCGCTTGAAGAACAGGAGAAAAACTTGAAAAGATGACAAAGTGCGAAAAGCAGCAGCAAATTTTCAAAACAAGTTGTGTTTGAAACAAGTTGTAAAAGCATGCAAGGCAACGCTAAAAACCAGAAAAGAAGTTACAGAGCAGCAGCGGACAACGCAGAGAAGGTAAAACGACGCAGGAAGCAGCAGCAAAACTTGCAAAGAAGGTGAAAACGCGCGTAGGGCAGCAGCAAAACTTGAAAAGAAGGAGAGCAGCAGCAAAACTTGCAAACTAGGTAAAGAGGCGCTGAAAGCCGCAGCAAAACTTGAAAAAAGCGACGGCAAAGCTTGTAAAGGAATTGAAAAGGCGCGAAAAGCAGCAGCAGAAATTGAAAAGAATCTGGAAAGCAGCAGCAAAAGTTGGAACGAAGCTGACGCGGCGCGTAAAGCAGCAGCAGATGCCCAAAAAGAAGCTGAGAAGAGGGGGAAGGCAGCAGCAAAACTTGAAAAGCAGCAGCAGCAGCAGCAAAACTTGAAAAGCAGCAGCAGCAAAATGCTGAAAAGGCGCACCTCAAAGGCGGGGTCCTCCTGGGCGCGGGCCAACTCGTCGGGCTGCAGCTCGCGGGGCTGCAGCGCCAAAACGGCGAAGAGCTGCGGCAGCAGCTGCCCCAAGTAAGGAATAAAATCTGCTTCTAAGACTCTGCAGAGTCTGGCGAGGGCCTCTGCGAGGTATTCCCGCAAAGTTTCCGTTTCTTCCACCTCTTCCCCGCTGCTGCTGCTGCTGCTGCTGCTGCTGCTGCTGCTGCTCGCGCTGTTCGCCGCCACCAGAGAAGACTCCGTCGTACGGAACAGCTGCAACAGCTGCTCCATCACCACCCTGCTGTCCGGCGCAAACACGCTCTTCCCTGCAGCCAGCAGCAGCAGCAGCAGCAACAGCAGCAGCAGCAGCAACAGCAGCAGCAGCAGCAGGTGCACGTGCCGCGGGCTTTATTGGATTTGCGTGGCTCATTCCTGTCAGTTCCCTCGCTGCAGCTCCCTCCACTCTCTTCCCCTAGCTCCCGCCTCCCCAGTGCACTTCCCAACCCCCAAACCCTAAACCCCAAACCCTAAACCCTAAACCCTAAACCCTACCGACGCTGTAGCCCACGATGGAGGCGGCCTCGATGGCCTTGCACCTGAGGCTGCTGAGCAGCGCCGCCTCTCTGTGGCTGCTCGGCTGCGGGCCCGTTTGGCTTATTAGCTGCAGCAGCGCCGGCAGCACTGAAGAGTAGTAAACCTTGAAGTCGCTTTCCAGCACTCCAGCCACCACTGCTATGCAAGTTATCGCGTGCTGCCGCACCAGCAGCGCTGCACGCCCCCCACACACAAACCTGCTGCTGCTGCTGCTGCTGCTGCTGGTGATACTGCTGCAGTTGCTGCTGCTGCTGCTGTTGTTGACGCTACTGCTGCAGTTGCTGCTGCTGCTGCTACTGCTACTGCTGCTGATACTGCTGCAGTTGCTGCTGCTGCCGCTACTGCTAGTGATACTGTTGCTCCTGCTGCTGCTACTGCTGCAGTTGCTACTGCTGCTGCACTGCTGCGGGCGCTACTGCTGGTGCTGCTGGTGCTGCTGCTGCAGCTGCTGCTGCCCGTGCTGCAGTGGCTGCTGCTGCGCGCCCGGCTGGCGCGTGGCTGCGGCTCAGCGCTCACGGGAAGAAGTGTCAGCTAGCTCCAGCACTTTGGGCATAACTGCAGGAAGCACTTTTTTCATTTCTTTCTTTTCCAACTCTTCCGCGAAGTTCACGAAGGCCGCGCAGGCGTGACTCCGCACCCGCGGGGTCTGCAAACAGCCGCAAGCGCCGCTCAGCAGCTAGCCAGCTAGCCGCCTAGCTAGCTAGCTAGTCGTTTAGCTAGCTAGCCAGCTAGCTAGCCAGCCAGCTAGCCGCCTAGCTAGCTAGCTAGTTGTTTAGCTAGCTAGCCAGCTAGCTAATCAGCCAGCTAGCCAGCCAGCTAGCTAGCTAGCCAGGTGGGGACTCACCGGGTCGGAGAAGCAGCGGACTAGAGGGTCCAGCAGCTCGTGGGTGTACTCGTGCTGCACTGTGGGCGCGTGGTCGAGGGCCAGCTGGCCCAGGCATTGGCAAGCAGCAAAACGCACGCGGTAGTCCGTGTCCCCCAGCGCCTGCAGCAGCAGCAGCAGCAGCAGCAGCAGCAGCTTGTGTGCAGCAGCAGCAGGTAGCAGGCAGCACCAGCAGCACACGTACCCGCACGCAGACCAGCAGCAGGCGCAACGCCAGCACTGAAACCAACAGCAGCAGTAAGACCAGCAGCTGCAGTAAGACCAACAGCAGCAGCAGCAGCAGCAGCAGCAGCAGCAGCACCTTGGCAACAGTGTGGACGACAGCAGCGAGCTGCTGCTCGTCGCCTTGGGGAAGATATTCTGCAGTTTGGGCGATGGCCATGAGAGCCACAAAACGGAAAGTCCATTTCTCTTGTTCTAGAAAGGGTTTTATGGCATCTGCGAGCAGCGGCAGCAAATGAGTAGCAGCAGACAGACTCTCCCGCTTCGAGTTCCTGCTGCTGCTGCTGCTGCTGCTGCTGCCCTCCTCCTCCTCGAAGCTCCGCGCCAGCCGGTCCAGCCCCTCCTCCCCGATCCCGTACATCCGCTGCTCCTGCACGCAGCACAGCCACAACATTGTTGCTGCTGCTGCTGCTGCTGCTGCTGCTGCTGCTGTTGCTGCGCGCACTATCCCTATATAGAGAAACGCAGCAGCACCAGACAAGCAGCAGCAGCACCGCCCTCCCCCAACGAGCAGCAGCAGCAGCTCCCTAACCGCCACCACCACCACAAGCCCCAGCATCAAACCCAGCCGCAGCAGCATCAGCAGCAGCAATATGAGCAGCAGAAAGAACAGCAAAGTGACCAGCAGCAGCAGCACCAAAATGAGCAGCACCAACAACAGCAAAGTGACCAGCAGCAGCAGCACCAAAATGAGCAGCACCAATAACAGCAAAATGACCAGCAGCAGCAGCACCAAAATAAGCAGCACCAACAACAGCAAAGTCATCAGCACCAGCAGCACCAAAGTGAGCAGCAGCAACAGCACCAAAATAAGCAGCAGCAACAGCACCAAAATGAGCAGCAGCAACAGCACCGAAATGAACAGCACCAGCAGCAAAGCACCAAAATGAGCAGCAGCAACAGCACCAAAACGAGCAGCAGCAACAGCACCGAAATGAACAGCACCAGCAGCAGCAGCAGCAGCAGCAGCAGCAGCAGCAGCAGCAGCAGCGGCGGCGCACGTCGTCGTCCTCCTCGCCGGACTCGAACCAGGGTTTGTACTCTTCGCGTTCGGCCTCGAGCATACACCTGAGGAGAGTGTTGAGGACTTCGCGCAGGGTGTCTGTACACCCCAGCAGGCTTTGAGGCCTCATTTCCGCGTAGCACAGCAGCGCCTCAATGGCCAGTCTTCGGAGAGTTTCCGTGCCTTCCACTTTGTCTGCTGCTGCTGCTGCTGCTGCTCCTGCGACGGAGGGGGTTGCTGCGCCGGGGGCGGCCGCGGGGGCGCCGGAGCCTGCTGCTGCAGCTGCTGCTGCTGCTGCTGCTGCTGCTGCGTCCGCAGCAGCAGCAAGGCCCGGCAAGCCCTTCCCCGCGTTCGCCAGCGCCAACAAGTAATTCAGCAGCAGCGGCAGCTGAGGCTTCAGCAGCGCAGCGCCGCCGCCCCTGTCCGCCTCCACCAGCTGCACCAACAAGCCCGCCACCCTGCAGCAGCAGCAGCAGCAGCAGCAGCAGCAGCAATAATGCAGCAGCAACAGCAGCAGCACTAGCGGCAGGTTGTGGGCAGGCAGCTGCTGCAGAGGTCCCAACCGAGCGCCAGCAGCAGCAGCCAAATAAAGCACTACAACAACCGCAGCAGCAGCAGCAGCAGCAGCAACGGCAGCAACAGCAGCAGCAGCAGCAGCAGCCTCACCTCTCGGCCAGCTGGAAGTCCGGAGTCTCCCCCGGCTGCGTCTCTGCGCCCGCCTGCCGCAGCGCCGCCTCAGCAGCAGAAATCACCAGAAGGGACACGGGGCTTTCCGCAGTCCCCACCTTTCTGTAAACACCTGCAAGCAGCAGCAGCAGCAGCAGCAGCAGCAGCAGCAGCAGCAGACAGGTGAGCAGCGGCGCGTGCGGCCGGTGGGCAGCAGCAGAAGCAGCAGCAGCGGGACGAGCTGTGCAGCGGCTGCAAAGGAGCCGGAGCGGCGCTGCGGCCGCAGGAGCAGCAGCGCCGCAGCAGCAGCAGCAGCAGCGCAGCAGCAGCAGCAGCAGCAGCAGCAGCGCAGCAGCAGCAGCAGCGCGGACTTCGCTGTCCGTCCTCCACGAGGGCGACGAGGAGCGAGAGGGCCTCGACGTTGGTCTCAGCAGCAGCAGCAGCACTGAGGCAGCGGCGGACAAGGGCCCCCAAGTGGGTACTTTCTTGGGGGCCCCCCAGCTGGGGCCCCAAGGCCGGGACAACTTCTGCAAGAATGTGAAGGGCCCCCTGCTGCTGCTGCGGCTCGCTGCTGCTGAGCAGCTGCAGCAGCTGGGGCCCCAGAGTGGTCCACTGGTCCTCTGGGAGGAGGTCGCAGGCGAGGTCTGCAGTGGTGCTGCAGATGTTGCTGCGGACAGTCTTGCTGCTCTCCTGCTGCAGCTGCTGCAGCAGCGTCTGCTGCACTGCTGCCTTTGCTGCAGCAGACAGCCGGCCCCACAGGTGGGCCCCCCCCTCCAGGGGGCCCCCGAAGGCCGAAGACCGCAGCAGCACAGCAGCCTGCAGCCGCAGCTGCTCCTCGGGGTGCCCCGAAAGAGTCTGCAGCAAACAGCCCACGTAGCTGTCTGCTGCTGCTGCTTTGAGAGCAGCAAGTTGGGCTTCTGCCTGCCGCCGCACAGCAGCATCTTCGGCCAGCGTGGCCTGCAGCAGCTCGCAGAACTTCGCCGCGTCCATTGTGCGGCTAGGGTTTAGGGTTTAGGGTTTAGGGTTTGCGGCTCCGGCTTCGGCTCGCCGCCTCCTCGCGCCCTCGCAGCCGCAGCTGCAAACCCTGCTGCAGCTGCTCGCCGGAAGCCGCGGGGGCCCCCAAGGCCCTCAGCTGCAGCAGCAGACAGCAGCAGCAGGCAGCAGCAGCAGGGGCCCCGCCAGCCTCGAGGCGCTGCAGGGCTAGGGTTTAGGGTTTAGGGTTTGCGCTTCGCCGCTCGCGCTCCACAGTTCACAAGCCAATGCCCTTTTAAACAGCACCTCCTGCAAACTACTCAAACCCCAAAGGCCTTTGCTGCTGCTCCGCGCTGCCCCACGGCTGCGGGGCTGCGGCCAACCGCTGGCTGCTGCTGCTCGGCTGCTGCTGCTGCGCTGCAGCAGCCGCTGCTGCTGCTCCTGCTCGACCAGCCGCTCCCGGCAGCCTTTTTTTGCAACTTTGTTGCACCTCATTTATTGAAATTCAACTAAGAAGTCCTGAAATAAAGCTTGAGACTTTTCCTCCACTTTCTAGAGGTGGCTGCTGACGGCAGCTCCTGCTGCATCGAAGCCCCGCAGCTGCGGTGTATCCGCAGCTCTCGATTGACCCAGCCTTTTTAGTCTTTTTGCTGTTTTGCTTTTCATTTCTTTTGTTTGTTTTGTTTGCCATTTAGTTCAAGATCTGAAAGTTCTTTAAGCAGTAGGAACAACTGAATTCCAGGGGCCCTCAGACCCGCAGCGGGGCCCCCCGTGCTCGCAGCTGAAACGTTCGGAGGCCCCGTGCTGCTGCTGAGCTGCTGCTGAGCTGCTGCTGCGCTGCTGCCGGGCTGCTGCTGCGCTGCTGCTGGGCTGCTGCTGCGCTGCTGCTGGGCTGCTGCTGCGCTGCTGCTGCGCTGCTGCTGCAGCAGCAGGGCTCCCATGGAGGCAGCTGGAGGCACGGCGCAGCAGGAGCTTTGCTGCTGCTGCTGCTGCAGGCCGGCAGCAGCAGAGTGCCAACGTAGCTCGATTGAGGTGTCCATACACCACAAATTAATGCACAGTTTCCACATTTTCTCAGCCACAATTAAATCACTTTTGTAAATTTGCTGCGCAGCACAAAAGGGGGGCTTTCGGGGCCTGCCTCCAGCAGCAGCAGCTTAGCTGACTGCAGCAGCAGCTTAGTTGACTGCAGCAGCGCAGCAGTGCTGCTGCTGCAGTCAACTGAGCTGCTGCTGCTGGAGTCCGAAGCGCAGACTCAAAACCCTAAACCCTAGCAGCTGAACCATGCATCTGCGCCAAACCCTAAACCCTAAACCCTAAACCCTAACGCGTCCCCCGAGAATTCAAACTGACGGATTTTTCTGCTGTTTGCACCAGCAAAAAATCGGGTCTAGAGCCCTCTGCTGCTTCATTAGGCTGCAGCAGCAGCAGCAGCACTTGGTTTCGCTGCTGCAGCAGCAGCTGTTGCTGCTGCTGTTGCTGCATCTCTTTGCCCAGGTAAAGCAGATGCGCCTAAAAGGCTGCAGCTGCTGCAGCAACTGCTGCTGCAGCCGCTGCCGCAGCAGGCGCTGCGCTGCTGCAGCGACTGGTGCTGCAGCAGTTGTAATGCTGCAGCAACTGCTGCTGCTGCTGCTGCCGCAGCTGCTGCTGCAGCACCCGCAGCGCCGCGCTCAGACAAGAATGCCCCCCGCAGACTTTGACTTTGCATCTTCTTTTGCTGCTGCTGCTGCTTGCTGCTGCTGCTGCATGTAAGGGACATCTGCTGACCCAGTTCTCTTTATATATTCTTGGCTAGCTGCAGCTAGCTGCGACTGCACGTTGGCTAGCTGCGCCTCCAGGTTCTTCATGGCCTCAGCCACCTGCAGCAGCAGCAGCAGCAGCAGCAGCAGCGGCAGTTACAGATGCAGTGCACATTTGTGCGCAGCAGCAGCACCAGCAGCAGCGCCTTTGCCGCTGCTGCTGCTGCTGCTGCCACTGCTGCTGCTGCTGCTGCTGCCCTAAACAGAGCCCCACAACCCTTAATGTCTACTGTCCAAGGCTCGCCCCAAACACTACAGCCTATCTAAACCCTAAACCCTAAACCCTAAACCCTAAACCCCAGACCTGCGTAGGTCCTAAACCCTAACCCCGAACCTGAAGTAGGCCCTATTCCACAGCTAGGCCGTAAACCCTAAACCCTAAACCCTAGACCCTGCTGCGGCTTCAAACCCTAGCGAGCCCCCAAACCCTAAACCCTAAACCCTAAACCCTAAACCCTAAACCCTAAACCCTAAACCCTACCTTGGCCTTGTGCTGCTCCAAGGCCGGCTGCACCTCCCCAACACTCCTCTCAACCAAAACCCCCCCGACCAGCCGATAGCAGCGCCTTGAGGGTTCCAGGTCTTTGAAGGCGTCCAGCACAAGCCTGAGCCCCAAACCCTAAACCCTAAACCCTAAACCCTAAACCCTAGCCCTAGCCCTAGCCCCAGGCCCGAGGCCCCGCCGCTGCTGCTGCCAGCGGCCAGGCAGCAATAGCTCGCCCTAAGGGCAGCAAACTGCTTGGAGCGGAGTCCGCAGGAACGGACGCCTTGAGGCAGTCTAGGGTTTAGGGTTTAGGGATTAGGGTTTAGGGTTTAGGGTTTACTGGTGGTCGCTGGAGTCCTGCCGCAGCTCTTCTATAGTGTTGTTCAGCGCTATCCTCTCCTTCTCTAGGCGCTGCAGCCGCTGCTTCAAATCTTCTTCCCCAGAGGGGCGCGGGGCCCCCTGTGGCTGAGCCATCTGCCGAGGGTTTAGGGTTTAGGGTTTAGGGTTTAGGGTTTCGGGGCACAGGCGCCCCGTCTGCCGCAGCAGGCCAGGCAGTCCCTGGAGAGACGCAGAATAGTAGAAGATGCCAAGCGTAGTCGCAGTAGCAGCACCAGCAGCAGCAGCAGCAGCAGCAGCGGCAGCAGCGGGCACCTCAGAGCACCTCGCCCTGCTGCACTGTTTACTGCTAAGTGCAATTCGGGGCAAGAACGACAAATAAAAGAAAATTAAAAGCGTTTATGGCTATGTCTTGCGTAGCTACGAGGCCACGGAGGCCCCTGCCGCATGCTGCTGCAGCTGTTGCTGCTGCTGCTGCCGCCGCTGCTGCTGCTGTGGGGCCCCGTTTCTGCGTCCGTTTAGTGCGCTTCTCTTTTCGTTTCAAAGATTTTAACTCAAAAAACAAAAAACAAAAGCCGGTATGGTCATTTAAAGCAAAGGACGCCTTGGCTCCCAATAACAGACACCCCAGCCCCCCCGTGTCTGCTGCTGCTGCATGCTGCCAGCTGCCAGCTAGCCAGCCTGGGCCAAGCGCCTTCCACGGGCGCCTCAGGGCTGCCAAATTGACAGCTATGTAGCCCAGCTAGCTGCCTAGCTAGCTGGCTGCCTCTGGCTGCGGCCACGCTCAGCCAGTCGGGCCAGCAGCAGCAGCCCGGCGCAGCCAGCTGCCGCCCGCTGCTGCCAGCAGCAGCTCGCTGCTGCCAGCTGCAGCTTGCTGCTGCTGCCAGCAGCAGCTCGCTGCTGCCAGCTGCAGCTTGCTGCTGCAGACACCGGCTGCGGCTACCGATCAAGGTGCAGCCAGTGGCCTTGCTGCAGCTGGCAGCAGCTTAGCTTCTCCTGGGTTTGTGCGCGACCTGCTGCAGCAGAGCCTAGGCCTTCAGGCTGCTGCAATCTGCAGCTGCTTGAGAGGCCTTTTGCTTTCCCAAGCCACCCAGGAGTTAATTAAGGCTTCTTCAGGTGATGTCTATTTGCTGCAGCGGCAGTAGCCAGCGGCCCGCAAAGGCCCTCAACTCACACCCGCACTAAATCCTAATAAGTGCACAGGTACAAATGTTAATAAGATACTGAATAGGAATACAATAGACCACACTATTAGGCCAATGGACCACATTCTCATGTCAGGGCCCGGGGGGCAAACAGCAGCAGCGGGAGGGGCCAATTCCCCAGCCAGGAAGGCTTGGGGGCCCTTAGGCAAGGGCTCCAGGCTTCAGACTTCATCTGAATTCCTCTCAACTCTGAAGAACACTCGAGACAGCTCTCTTCTTAATGTATCTCTGTTCTAGACAATCCTAAAGACAGGCCTCTCCCTGGTTCTTTTTCGCTCTAGAGAACACTCAAGGTATCCCTCTGATTGCTTCCTCTCAACTCTGAAGAGCGCTCGTGACAGAGCTCTCTTTGATTCTTCTCAGTTCTAAGCAACACTCAAGACAGAACTCTCCTTCTTAGTTCCCTTGCACTGTAAACAACACTCAAGACAGCTTCCCTCCAGCCTCGGTAGCTGAGCTCCTGTGCACAAGGAACCAACCGCCCTATGCTGCAGCCTCACTGGCGCAGGAGCTTTTCGCCCTTTACAGTTATAACTAATTCAACTTGGTCTTTCCAGCTGCAATTCTGAACCCTAGAGCTCTGGAATTAGCCTAGAGTCGCAGAATTAGCTAGTGTCTGGATTTATCTGGGAAGGCCAGAGTCGTAGCATCCACTGTGTAGACGACCCGTTAAGACCAAATCCATGAAAATGCTGGTGCAACAGCACGGTACGTGCAAAAGAACGGAATGAGGCCTCCATCGTATGTGGTATTGTGCGACGAGTTCATAGCGAAAGCAAAATATCGCAGTCGCTGCAGCCTTAGCTCACTAGAGACGCAAGTCTCTTCTCTAGTACTTTGGTAAGCTTCCTAGAGTGCAGGGGCGTGCCCTTTATGTGAACGAATTCTTGCGGAACCAGCCAGGGAAGCCAGGGCAAGCTGGAGCCCACTAGCAGAGAAGGAAGCCGCTGAGGCCTCGAAACAAAGCAGCCACAGGGCTCTTTGTCACAGCAGAACTTCAATGGCTTCGCCTTCAGAATAGGTGTCTTTTGCGTACAGTTTGAAGTTACAGGTAATTGCCAAGAACGGCCCACGGCTAAATCTCCTCGTGGGCCTTCCTAGCAGCGCGAGCGAGGGAATAGGCTGCAGCTCTCCATGCAGCAGGCGCTTTGGGGAGGCATTTTCCCCTAGGACCCCAAAAGCAGTATTAGTGAAGCGTCCCCGTATTTTTCCCCCCCAAGTAGTTTACCGACCATGGCCTGAACGGTCTTCGGAGAAAAGCGCCCTACTACTCAGTGGCGCAAGCAGCTTCAGCTTCGCTTTTTATTTTAGCCCATCAGCCTTGGCCAAGCATGCTGTGCTGCACAGGAAGTCCAAGAGATGCTGCATCCCTCCATTTGGTTGATTTGACCTTCGGATTACCTTTCGATATTGTTCGAATTTTGAGGGGGGCAGACGTCACGTCTATATAGTTGGAAAACTCGTTAAAAGCTTTTAAATCCATTATTCCCTCATCAGTAGTCTAAGCGAAAGAGACTTGCTCCAGCAGGAGGCGCTGCAGAGGCTGTGCTGTTCAAACAAGTTTCTTAACCAATTAGTAGCAGTTAGCACTGGTTCCCAAACTCTGCAAGCTGAAGTCTAGTTTGTCAGCCAAAGAAGCTTAGCGGATCCTGTGTAACGCCAGGGCGAAAGTTAAGTGTCTTATTCCTCTTGGCCACACGACAAACCTTACACAAACTTCCTTAAAGCGCGAAAATGGTGCCTAAAAGCAAAGAGGGCCCTTCAAAAGTACCGACAAAAACCAAATATCACTTATCAGCAGCGCAAGCCCACAGGGTGCCGCTCCCAGCACTGCCTGGGCAGTACATTTTGCCCTTCCAATATCAAAGAGCCGCTGTGCTATCCACAAGGCCCATGGAGGCTGGTACAGGCAAGAGGACTGTAAGAAAATTGGCTGACACCTGCTGGCGACCAGCCCTTGGCCCGCAAGTGCGGGGAAGCAGCTGCAGTCTTCTGCGAGGGGAAGCGCCAGCCGGGGGCTCGGTAAAGGGTGCTGAAGAGAAAGTGCCTCCATATGTAATGGCCGGCTGTCGTTGCGAAGCCAAGACAATTTCGAAGCCAAGACAATTTCTTGTACTTACTCAAAGACAAGTACGTCCAAGGCGCGCTCAGGCGCGCTCTGGGCCGCAGCCCCTGCGCAGGGCAGCGGCTGCGGGCCTATCACTTCTATCACTGTCCTGCACTTTGCGGGGCTCACTCAGCAAAGCTTCACACTCGAAGGTAGCTGGCCTCTAGCCTTGCCCAAGACTTAATGCTAATTTAACTTCACTCAGTGGCTTAGACGGAGCACTTAAGGCCTGAGCACCGCTGCACCATACAGCCACCCGCACAGCAGGCATCTCGGGGCCAGGGCCCTGCGTGTCAACAGAAAGCCCCCATTTCAAAGTCCGTTCAAAACGCGTGCAAAAAGGCAAGGCTGGCAGCCTAGCAAACTAGAGTGTGTAGCTGAGGCGATGGCCGGAGGCAGCAAAGCAACACAGTGCCAGGCAGAGGGGCTCTTCAGGCCGAGCCCTTTGCAAGCAGCAGCACAAGTTCAACGGCCTTTATTGCTGGCCGTCACAAACAGCTGCAGCATACTGGGGCCCACAGCTGCGATAAGCCGCCCCCCACTACGCCCGGGGCATCGGCCGCGCCCCAGGGCTCTTCCCCTTATTAACGGGGGTCGCTCGCTGCGGGGAGAGGGGGCTGCGAGATTAACTAACGAAAGCACTTGTGTATTAGAAAAGGCTGGCCTGATGAAGCTGGTACTGTTTCTTAGGGCGTTGGGAGCCAAAGGCAAATTTGAATTTATTTAAATTTGCATTTATTTGAACTTGCATTTATTTAGGTTTGTATTTATTTAAGTTTGTATTTACTTGAATTTGTATTTATTTGAATCTGCATTTATTTAAATTTGTGAGGATTGGCCCCTAGGGAGCTCACTGTGTCGCGCGCTGAAAGGGGCAGCAGCAGCAGCTGCCGCGAGGCGCTGCAGCACCAGAGCCTTCCCGTTTTGCTGCGGAGTTAAACAGCGCCGCATGCAGCAGCAGCAGCAACTCGCTAGGCAGGCCTGCGCAGCAGGCTGGATCTGCAGCCGCTGTGCCCAGGCTGCTGCGCATTTGAAGCTTTTTTTTAAAAGTTGAGGAGATTTGCAGGAAAAGAAAGACAGGGAAGACAGGGAAAGAATTAGGGAAGCAGTTTAAAGAACTGAAAAGGTGGGAATCGAACCCGCGCGGGCTTCAGGCGCCGCGGGCGGAGACTGCGGGTCCAGGAGAGCGCAGGCCCTTTCGAAGCTAAGAAGACGAGCTAAATGGACTTGTTTTGATTGTTAGAACAAAAAAAACAAAATGCGTTATAAAAATAAGAAGGTATGCGAGACAGAGGCCCCAAGCAGCGGCGCAGCAGCGGGCGCTTCGCTTGGGATGGGCGCTGGCGCGCGGTGTACGCACAGTTGCAGTATTTGCGCCTGACTTTCGGAGAATAAATTGGCATTTATTTATTAAATGTTGATAATTGTTTTAAATAAACTGCGAAAACGCTTTTCAAAGAATCTCCGACAGCAAAAGGGGGGCCCCGCGTTCGTGCCAGCCCTCCTTGAGTCCCGGTCGCAGTGGGCGCGGCGGCTCTGGGGTGTATAGACAGCTCGCCGAAACCCCCTCTTTTCTTTTGCCGTTATCTGAAGCTTTATCTCTCAGCGCTCATTCCTGCAGCACCTTGCGGTCCTCTCGTCTCGGTCTAGCAGAAGCAGCAGCAGCAACAGCAGCAGCGGCAGCAGCAGCAGCGCGAGCAGCGGCGCCCGCAGCAAGAGGCGCCCTTAGGAGTTTCAGTGTTCTTTGGCCTTTATAAATGCTTATCTTCTTCCTCCTAACACCCCGTGCCTTCCCCGCTGGAGCGGTAGTGGCAGCAGCAGCAGCATCGGCAGCAGCAGGATCATCAGCAGCAGCAGCAGCCGTAACAGCAGCAGCAGCAGAAGCGGTAACAGCAGCAGCAGCCTTATCTCCCTGCATAGGCGCGCCGTGAAAGCCACTGCATGCCTGAGGCATAGATACTGCCAATAGCTTCAGCAGCAGCAGCAGCAACAGCAGCAACAGCAGCAGCAGCAGCAGCAGCGGGGCTCGATGCAATTACCTTAAGATGCGGCCTGCTGCCAAGCGACGTCTGCTGCAGCAAGCCCGAAGGGACTTTCAGCAGCGCCGCGGGGCTGCAGATGACTCCTGCTGCTGCTGCTGCTGCTGCTGCTGCTGCTGCTGCCTGCAGCAAAAGGCCCCCGCCTGGCTGCTCTGCTGC